ATTCACCCTGTTTTTTATATCAACCTATTGTACCCCACATATAATGATTCTGTTTCTAGGTAGTGTAATCCACTGCTACTCTTTGTAGAAGTCGATGGCTTAGAGTATTTCGAGGCCGCCGAGATCCTGAACTTTTGCTAAGAAAGAAAAGGTTGTGGAGAACCTCGCCTGAAATATACTATCCACTAGGTTGGCTATGATAAGCCAACTAAAGAATCCACCAGCTACCTAGAAGGTATGTAGGAACTGATTTGCAACTTCCATTGTAAATATCCCGATAAGCCTGGACCTGCCTGAACCGAACCGCCTGTTTGTAAGACTGTAAACCGTGACTTGCCGCCTTATCGGAGCTCGGCCTAAAGAAGGGGGGTAATGTTACAGTGTGGATATATGTAACCAATAAACAATAAGCTAGGCCCTGTTAGACTAACTTATAAGTGAAAACTCTGTATATCTTTACATTAGAAGATCCTATATTATAGCTCTTTAAGCTATATCTTAGTCTACACCCTGTACCTACTATTCTTAACACCGCCGAATATAGATTCCTGATCCTGCCTGCCTGCCCCGTGATAGTCTTACTATCTCTCAGCTATTATATCAAAATCATTAGTTATAATAACTGATAATATAATGGATTCTGCTATACTTCCAATATTATTCTTATATTTAAGCTTATATTCTATAAAGTTGTCTTTATAAAATCCTACTATATTAATAGATAGCAGATAGGTAATAAAATAAGATAAAATATTTAAATATAATTTTACTAAATTCAATAAAATTATATCTATTTATAAAAAATAATGCTTAACTCAAGCTGATAGCTACTGGTTTGTATTCTTTAATACACATTACTTCAAAGAATAAAATATAAATTAAGATTGAGTGTAAGGGTTATTGCCACATTGCCGATTAAACTCATTTGTTAATATTAAACCATATTGAATTAATATTAAATATAAGAACTATTGCCACATTACTAACAATCCTTATTCACACAAGAATAGGTATTAAACCATATTACTTTAATACAAAAGCTTATACCTCTTCAAAAAAATATTAATTTTAATCACAAACCCACATTATATTTGAAATTAAGATATTAGGCTCCTGATCTATAATATCATTGATCAGTATTGATATCATCATAAGGATAGTGAAGTAATATAATACTAATAATTTATACTGTTGTAATATTGCTTAAGATTCTAAAAGTTAAAGGCTATAAATGTATATGCTATAGTGCGGGGGCGCTAGCGCATGCGCTAGTGCGGTCACATGATCCCTGTCCCAACAATTTCATCCTCCCTTATTCCATCCTCTTTTATTCTCTCCTCCTTTATTCCCTTCTTCTTTATCCCCTCCTTCTTTATCTTACTCTTTAATATATTCTCTAATACTTTAAAATATTCTTAATTAAAAACAATAAACTCAAAAAACTCTAAAACAATCTTTTTTTTATAATATACTAAATAACTTCAAAATTTTCATATCATCATATATTATTACCCTTCTATCATTCTATAAATCAATTAAAACTATCCCTATCCCTCCATCTCCACTTATAAAAAATAAATATATATCTAATAATAGCATTACTCTTTACTAATTTATTAAAAAATTCAATTTTAAAACTTTTTCCTATCTACTCATAATAAATTCTTTCCTTTCCAATATTCTTTTATAATAATATTCTAATAGATTAATTTAAAAATAAAAGTATTTAAAAAATAAAAATATATATTAAATTTATTTCGAATTTTAAAATAAATAAAACAAAATCTATATTAATGATTATAATTCAATTAAAATCCTTTTAAAATAAATTGAATTTACAGATTATATTATATAATACTCTATTATTTATGTTTTCAAAATAAAAATTATATAATATAAAATCGATTTATTTGATATTATTGAATTTAAAAATATAATAAAAAAAAGATTGAAAAAGTATTGGAATTCTATTATTCTATCTAGGGGGGATTGATAATATGCTAGGTTAAATACGGTTAAGTAGATTCTGAGTTTATCGAGTTTTTACAGTAATCATATAATGATTAGATATACCGCGGTATGAAAAAAAGCGGATCACCGATAACAGGATCGGACTTGGAATCGATCTCCGCTCTCGTGATCGGATCCTGAAGATCACCCTCAATATAAGCATTTCTCTGATAATTAGTCATTGCCAACTTGGGCTCCCCACATCTCTACCATTATCACCACTGTCGCAGACCACACACTATCAACACCACTTCTTATTCTATCCCGGCCGACCCCAAAGTAGTTCCAAGGTGCCTTCTGCGACAGCAGGTAACCGTGTACCGCCTGCCTACAGTCTACGATACTCTCGACGACCAGTGTCTCGCGGCCAGCACCAACTTTTGACAGGCTTCTACCCGTCGCTCTACGGACGACGGAAGACCCTGGGTGCTGGTGCATCTTGCAGCACTGGAGCTCGTCATATAGTGTGTTGTGGCTAGGCTGGGCGTGCAGGAATGAAAGCGACCGGACCCTCGATCCCATAACCGTTTGGTTAATCTTCAAAGAAAGCCGATTACCACCACTTAGCCCAGCTCTATCGCGAGACGGGGCTGGCCTAGAGGGATCGTCTTGACGTGTTTACCACGCCCAGGTTTGTTGCGAGTGGTCGTTTGAACTGACAGTGTATATAGTACGAGAAACCGGTCACTATGATCGTCAGTACTGCAGAATGCTCTTCTCCCACCGATCCCACGTCGTCACCCTCCCCTCGATCGACTACGTTTGGCCCCACGATAGATCCGAACACGCCTAGGCTCAACCCAGATCTCGAAATCGAACAGGAAAGTCACACCGCGCAAAGCCCTGACCAAGCACGCCTTAATCGATCCCCAACGCGAGACGAACACATTGAGACTGCGTCTCCTAGTACTCGTGCTTCCCCGTCTCTGTCGCCTAAAAGTAGCAGCTCTGGTGCGCCCTCTGTGGGACACATCGAACCAACATGGCCTAAGAAAATCGACGTGACCAAGATCTCTGCTCTTGCGTCGTGGGGGGAAGGGCAGCGCTTGCCTGGCTTACTCTTCGACTTTCACTGGGTGATGTCTTCCAACAAGGCCTTCTTCAAATTGCGCGCCTCTGTCCAGCTCAAGCAGGCACCTGGTTCGCGTCGCGATGGCAGGACCAACATCTTCATCCATATCTACCCTGAGCGCATTCAGCAGCTATCTTTTGAAGCAGAGCCCGTAGACAAGGTATTGGGAAATGATACTATAGCACTTGTATTTACGATGTCTAAGCCGCCGGCCCTGGTGCTGCCACCTACGCCACTCGAACCCAAGAACAAAGCGTCAGGGACTATCATCACCTCCTTTTTTCATTTGGCTAGACAGATGTCGTGGACCGTGTACGCTGCCGTACCGCCACGGACTCTGTCTGCTGCACGGATACGACAGTTCTGCGCAGCTGTCTCCGAGCCGTTAGCTGGTAGCATCGTTTCGTTTGCGAGTGCGGCTACATTGTACCAGGGCCAAGGGGGCAAGATAATTGAGGGAGACAGCCTGGAATCTAGCACAGCGGGCGACGACGATGATACTGGCAGTGAAGTGCACGATCATCCTCCAGAATATGAAGCGTCAGGCTCTGCCCCTGTCTACCTTGACCTCGACAAAGGCAAAAAGCGTCTTCGTCGAGGCAGCAGTCCCGAGATATGCCAAGAGCAGAAATCGCGACGCCCAGCCGACATAGAGGATCTTCTGCAGTCGCGCCTGTCAGCCCTTGAACAGCGTTTCGACGATGCACTTGCGGCCCACAAGAAGGAAATGGTGGAACTCGTTGGGCAGGCCGAGTCACGAATAATGGACACGCTCCGTAGAGAGATGGACGAACAGTCGGCTGATTTCGAGGAGTCGTTGGACAGGAGGGTCAAGGAGGATATAGCAGAGCTAGAAGAAACGGTAATGCAGAACATTAGCGAGGCGCCACTACAGGCCACTCTGACCTTTCCTGCACATCCTTGGTACTGAACCGTTCCCCATCTTCTGGGCCCATCCTCTCCGGGGCAGATTTGTAGCACTATTGAAAGGGTGAAGTCCAGGTTAGACGAATGGTCAATTTGTATAGAAGCAAAAGTGTCTATACCGTTGAGTTGTATATAAAGCTCCATATACAAAGGAAATATATTCTTACTTATATAGACCTCAGTGTTGTAATTAGTATTTTTCGTATTTTGAATACGCTTTACTTTGGTGGTATGTATCAAATTCCTGAAATACATTTTTTTATTAGGCATCTTTCCTATTATTATATTAAAAGTGAAGATATCTCAACTTTACTTTATTATCTAATCTCTATATAAAGATTTACTACTAGGTACTAAATAGTGGCCACCCTTTAACTCTCAGATCCTCAGGCATCCGTATGATCTAGAGTTATAATAGTGAGAATGGTTAGTTATATATCCTAAAATTCACTTCACTTCGATAGTAGTGACGTCATATTTGGTTGGCTAGGGACAACGAACACGCTGCACAGACAACGAACACCTGCTACGGACAATGACGTTGAAGCATATCTGGGCCACCACAGTGGCCCCTCTGGAAGATGGCGAGGTAACCAAAACGTTGCTGGAGGTCGTTGAGCTATCATTAAAATACAGCTCGAGACACCAGTGCCGAGAGACGATTCTGGTCAACTATTTAGTGAAAGTTGTTCAGCAAGTGGTGCAAGGCAATTTAATTTGATACAAGCAAGTTTGATTGAAAAGCTACAAAAAATAAGAGCCATCTCTCCATGTTGTAAAATAGATTGCAATCGATCATAAAGAAAGGCATTCGGATATCCTCCAAATCCGAAGGATCTCTGTGCTCCGCCGGAGGATCCGAAGCATGATTTACGATTAGTGGCCCACTCTAGAATATCTTTTTTTTCTCACTCATTGCCACTGTTTGAAGGATACAGCCGCTCTGTTTTTCACATAAAGTGTAAAGAGGTAGAAACAAATGGAAATCCAGTTATTTTTCGTCAAAGCGCCACCAGTTGAAGTTAATCAAGAAGCCAGAACCACTACCTGCAAAGACAAAGTACAAATCTTGGGTTCCTGTGGCCCCACTTATTGGACAAGTTACAGTCTTCCATGTCTGCCAGCCGCCAGTGCCTGATACAGTGCAAGTTCCAACAAGAGTGCCTGAAGTGCTCCCTAGGCGCGCTTGAATCGTACCTCCGTTGGTGGCGGAAGAAACGCGAGCAGAGAAAGACTTAGCCCCGGTACCGAAGGCAACACCCTTAACCTTGATATAGTCGCCGTTGTTAATGCTACTAACGTCCATGCCGCCTTCACTGCAGACCTCCGTCTTTACACCCTGGGACCAAGCTGCTGTCTCTGCCTCCTGCTGCACATAAGGATTCAAAGTGCCAATTTGCGGGGGCCCAGCTGTCGTCATCTTAATTGTAGGAATAGTACCATCAGAGTTGTAGACAAATCTTTCAACGCATGCTGACCTCTGATAACCTCCCCCGCCGGGCAAGGCACCATTGTGGTAGAAAAAGTATGAGTTGCCCTTGTAATCAATGATGCCTTCATGATTTGTAAAGCTTGAGCCGGCACTTGCCATGATAACTCCTCGGTATGTCCAGGGCCCTGTGACACTAGGGGCGGTTGAATATCGGATGTCTTCGGAACAGCAATTTGCTGCGTAAGCCAGATAATAGGTGCCGTTGCGCTTGTAAAGCCTGGTAAACGAGAGATTATTGTTAGTGCACCATTTTCGAAGATGTGGAAGAATCAAAAGACTGGGACGTAAAGCCATGGGTTGCAGACACGTATTGACTAAGGACATTGATGGGAGAAGGATTGGAGAAAATGACTTACCAAGGTGCTTCTTCAAAGGATGTCGCGCGCGACGTACTGCTACCAGTCCTTGGCCCAAAGCCAGCAACTGTGAGCGAAGTCTTCATTATACTTCCACTGTATGAGATCATATCCTGGTTCAACTTGACGTAGTACAGATCTGGATTTCCCCAGTACAAATAAGCTTGACCGTCATCATCGATGAAGACCGTCGGGTCTATCTCGTTATTCTCGACCAAAGGTTTTCCCAAGGCGTCTTTGTACGGGCCTGTGATGGTGGAACTCACGGCGACTCCCACAGCCATTGCACCGGTAGTGTGGCGCATTGGGGCGTACATATAGAACTTCCCATGACGGGCAACAACTTGCGGAGCCCATGCATTGGCGTTGGCCCAGCTGAAGGTGGCCAGGCTGGCAGGAGATCCGTGATCTTGCCAGTTTGCCATGTCTGCTGTTGAGAAAAGACGCCATTCTGTCATCACGTAGGTCGTAGCGCCATCGTTGTCATGGTCAAGAAAGGCATACACACGATCATCATAGACCATCGGTGCCGGATCTGCTGTGTAAATCGTCTGTACAAAGGGATTGTCAGCTCCAACAAGTCCAATTTTGCTCAAAAGAGGGCAGAGGAGTAGTGCGGCTGTTGCAACGCATTTCGCCTTCCATGAAATCGAATTCAATGATTGAGGCATTTTGGCGGCGCGTCAACTCCCTGAGATCCCACTGTATCTAATGATAGTTTTGTAACTCGGAAGGATAAAAAAGCTTGCGAATAAAGCTGAAACTCATAACAAAATGTCAGTGGCATAATATATCAGGGAGTTGAAATGAAGTATGACTAGGGTTGGGCGATTTGATGATATATAATATCGTATATCGCTCAATCAAATATAATATGTAATATCGCTCAGATTGCATTATATTATGACTAATCATGAAATCCTATAAAACCCTATAAAAACCCTATAAAAGGCTATTTTGAAGCTATTTTGAAAAGAAGATAATTAGTATATAAATCACATGATTAGCACCTGACTTTTGGGTCTAATTATACACTAAATTGAAAATTAGAACCTATTAAAAACTTTTTCCAAAAACGACCCACTTTCATTCATCCTGATGGTCTTATTAGCCCGAAAAACACGTGCATAAACTTGGCATAATATTTTATATGCCTCAAAAAGCATTATAATATAAAATTATATAATCGACCCCCAAATTATATAATTCGCCCATCCCTAAGTATGAGCAGTTTATACGAGAGCTCCACTTTTGGGCATCATCAAATTATCCGCCGCTCCACTTTTCCTGATCTTCTCCGTTCATATTAGTCTATCCACTTCCTTAATCATTGGTTTCATACGGGGAAAAGTATGTTCATCTGAAAAATGCCTCTTGTAGAACACTCAGTATCCTTCCTCAGTGGGAACTATCACGTAAGATTTGGCACACTTGTGTCTCCATTAGATTGAGCTAACCGCCTTCATTCCTTTCTCGGCTACAACCTAGGAAATCACCTGCTGATCTAGGTGCTGATAATGGTTAAATGGTGCAGTTAAATTAACCTTAATTAAGTTTCCTAGCGAGTTACCCCGCATTGACATTCAGCCGCAACAATAAGGTTATACGCCCCAATCATGGCCCAATCTACTAACTGCCGGTGACAGTATATATCTTTTTGGTATGGGGACGAGAAGCACAGAGGTCCATCTTTAATTTACTAGTATCCGCGCCAATGATATTCGACTTTAGGTATCAAGTTTCAACTAATGACGGTCCTTCTCCTCAAAGAACAAGAGATCTCAATGTCTGATTTGCCTATCCTGTCTGGTAAGCTGCAAAATCTACAGCTTTACCTTCGGGGAACGAGTAGATCGGCAAACTCTAAAATGTGGAGCATATCGTATTCCGGGGAATACCTTGAGCGAAGTGGCTGTACGGCTATATTCAAGAATGGTCCGAAGTGATCTAACTTAGTAGACTCAGTGGTAAAATAATATCATATAACGGCCACGGTCGTGGTGCATAAAACGATTGCTTTGGCAGTTTACTCCATTCCACAACTTCTTACACCATTCTAAAAGATGCGCTCTCAATTATTCCCCGCCTTCATTGTAGGCTTCCTGGGTTCTACCGTGGATAGTCGCAATTTGGAAGTGCGTATCAGCAACGGCCTTGGTCGTACTCCTGCTTTGGGTTGGAACAGCTGGGTAACTCCCTCTTCTCACTATTCCGTACCCAGACTCACAATTACTGATTCATCCTCAGAATGCCTTTGGATGCAATGGTGCTTCAGCTTCTTCGGCAATGACTGCAGCAAACCAGTTTGTAAACCTGGGGCTCAAAAACCTTGGCTACATATACGTGAATATAGATGACTGCTGGCACACCAAGTCCCGCAACTCCTCCGGCAACCTTGTCGCTGATCCCAGTAAATGGCCTAACGGTATAGCACACACCGTCAATCAGATTCATGGTATGGGGCTTAAGTTTGGATTATATGGTGATGCGGGTACCATGACGTGCGCAGGATACCCAGGCTCCCAGGGACATGAGCAGCAAGATGCTACTTTACTAGGTAGCTGGGGGGTCGATTACGTGAGAATAATCTGCTTTACTCTCCTGTTCTCCAATTTTCTTCGAAGGTGTTGAAGCTAAATCTTACTCTTTCAGTGGAAATATGACAACTGCTACACTCCCTGCAACGGACAAGTTCCACAAACATGCTGGATTGCACGAAACTCGGAAGCTTGGTATCAGACATTCGGTAATGCCTTGAAAACCGTGTCCCATCCCATACTATACTCCTTGTGCTCTTGGGGAGTGGACAGTGTATGGACCTGGGGCGGATCGGTTGGGAATTCCTGGAGAGTCACTGGTGATATTCAAAACTCCTGGTCCTCAGTCTCATCGATTGCCAACACTGCAGCGGGGATCTCGAAATATTCCGGTCCTGGCGGGTTTAATGACTTGGATATGTTGGTAAGTCAAACTGCCCAGCTTAAAGAGATTCCCTGTTACGGCTTCTCAGATTGACTGAGTATAGGAAATTGGTAATGGTGGTCTCTCCGAAGCCGAAGAGCGAGCACATTTTGGTCTTTGGGCAATCGCCAAGTCTCCATTGATTATTGGTACAAATCTTGCCAGTATAAAGTCTTCTTCCCTCGCTATAATCAAAAACGCAGTAAGTTTTTCTTCGGTGGTGTCCACTTTTCCACGTCTAACGAGATTAGGGTATAATTTCCATCAATCAAGATTCCCTTGGAAAAGCAGCTACCTATTTCACTCCATCGGGTCAGGCAGGGCCAACATCTGGACAGCTATATCCCTACTGGGCTGGGCCGCTCTCCGATGGTGTCGTGGTTGGCATCGTAGCTGCAAATGGTGCGCTCAACTATAACGTTGCACTTAGCAGTGTTCCTGGATTAGGCTCTGGCACATGGAGCTGGACAGAGTTCTACAGCGGTAAAAAAGGATCAGGAACTAGCATATCTGGATCTTTAGCAAGCCATGATATGGCTGTTTACAAAATAACAAAAAATTAGTGGAAGCGGAATGACAACTTTGGTTGTCAAGCCGACTTCAACCGGTGCCGCCCCAATCGGTACTTCTAGCAGTGGTGCCCGAGCAGTCGCCCAATGTGGAAAATGTGGAGGAAGTGGTTATACTGGAGGAACCGCGTGCGCCTCACCATACACTTGCACTTATAGTAATGCGTATTACTCTCAGTGCCTGTAGCCAACTTCAGGATAGGACAATATTATTGGCTTTCACTATTCGTCACTATCTCTTATATCGGTATCTCCGAGTCTGTGACCCTCAAGTAGCTTGATCCCCATATTTCTAGCGTGCAAATACTCAAACGTATCTCTCATAGGCGTTACTATCAACGATCTGTCTGTAAAGTCACGTGAACAAGGAAGCCCTCTGAAAGTTTTCAGAAACCACGATTGAAAGATGAAAGGTCTCATTACCGACTCACCAAGATATCTTGTGTATCAGGGATTCTTGCCGACAACATAAGTCCATCTATCCAAGTACACACTGGTAAACTAGGCCTGTCAAAGGAGGTGTGAGTCAAAAATTTCCAGATTGGAGGATCATTACTAGAGCCAACCGTCTTTTTAGGGATAAATTCATGAAGAAACAGAAATATTATGACCTAGGCTATGATAGCTTCCATAACCACTCGCGAATGTCTCTCCAAGTACGATATCCCACCTCCGGGCCTTTCTTGGAGAATGGAGAGTTTGGCTAGTGCCTGGAGTGAATGGCTGTTGGTCCTCACTAATTCTCCAAACTGGAGAGTAACCAGTAGTCGCACAGAGCAGACGAATTTCATGCGATATAAACGAATGTATAAAATAATTCCAAATGGTCACTATCCGGCAGTTACGAAGGCAGGTGTGAAATTTCTAGATGTGGATACCAACACGGAAATTCAGCCTAGCAGCAAACTGCAGCAACGTTATTGCTAGGGCGCACAGTAGTTCATAAGTCCCGCCTTGACTATCCCCTGCCCGGAGCAAGACTTAACTTTTTAGTGACAAAACTAAGTTCAAAAACAAGCATTTTTGAGGGGAAATAGTTGCATGGAGTAGGTACGAATAATCTCCAAAATGGGCCCGGTACACAGTGCCGATGTTCCGTCTCGAAACAGGTCGTGAGGTACCCGATTTCCCAGCGAAGATACTATTGCCAGGGACTGAATAAATATCCCACCTTTGAAAGTTAGCGGAGGATAAAGTGGAGGCCCGGGATGGCAGAGGTAGAGAAGATTGTGGAAATGAGGGAACGGTAATTCAGAAGTGAAACGTCGGACGATCTAAGATTATGGATATGAGAACCATCGCACCCTCATTTCAGCGTTATCCATTGTCTCGTTGAAATGAAGGTATCCCCACATCGGCATTGATGTCTCGGTTTTCGGCCGCACTCTTAAGGATTGCATCACGTGGGAGACTGGAGCTTCCGATCCTTACAAACTCCCATGTAATTCTACGTATCCAAGCCCCGCTTTGTTCCAAACCGACAATTTCATAAGGTTAAGTCGTCTCGTAGCGATAAATTCCATGCTGGATGAATACATTGCATAATTGATTATTTTATGGAGAAGCTACTGAAACTAGCTTTACACACCTTTTGTATCTGATGGGTATTTTCCTTGCCCTAAATGATCAATTAGTTGTGATGGAACCTTTTCAAGGTCAAGAAAGCTTTTGGAAGATTCAATGACAGATTATGAAACTAATATGGATTGCTGAGGCTTGGAAACAGCTCTTTATCTTCTTAGTCGATTGACCACAGTCTTTGGGTAATCAACTACTCAATGTATCTTCGGCGTACTTCTTCGGAATCCAAGTATTAATATTTGATATTACGCCCAATGAGCTGTCTTTCGAAAAGCCTTGAGGTGCACCTTCTAGTCTCTCGACTAGCACTTTCAAGAATACTGATGGCTCTGTATCAGTTCAGTTGCTTAATACTGGATCCACATCTTAGGGTGTCTCCATCATAACTACTGCTTCAAGCCTACGATTTCTTCAAAGAAAAGTTGGTTTCCATTCCTGGGTCATCAGACGCAGTTGGATACCAGATCACGTGAAGCTACAGGCAGCCAGTATATTGTTACATATATGAGAACGGCTAGCCCGCCTACTTTTACAATTAAGCATGCTGCAATTGCTACTTCTTTCCAGCCATCAACTGCGTCTCGGCACGCAGGGATAGAAGTTATAGGTACTGCATGATTATGGGTTCTCGAAAGGGGAGGCTGAGTAAGTCTGCTAAGGGAGTATATATAGTATAGACAATAGTATATTATAGTAAAATGCCGGCGTGTATGAAGCTTTTGATATGACAGATAGTGCGTATTAGATAATTAAATATTTATTATTGTAGATATCATTTAAAACAGATGCCTAGGAAGATATACGGGAGAACTGAATATAAAAATAAAAAGATAATACTAATCTCAATAAAGCCTAGATAATTAAAACATGTAGTATAGTAGCTGACTAAGTATATAATAGCTTATTAGAACTCTCCTTTGTTTTAAAACCTCAATTAATCAATTAATTCAATAAACCCTTTTCTCTAATGATTTAATAGGTTTTATAATATCAATATTTATATTCAAAGACATTAAAAAGATCAAAATATTCAATAAAATTGATGAAATTTAGAGATAATCTCAAATTCGTATATTTCGGCTTGTTCTGTATTAATCAAAAATCCGTATTCCTATATCTTATTAGTAGTATTCAATATTATTCTAATATTGGATATCTTTAGTAATATCGAATTCTATACTATGTATGTATGTATTTGGAAAAAATTGATATGCATTAATATTTAACCTGTATACGGATTACAGGAAATACTATTGCTTACACTGAGTATGTATCTTCTTGAATGTCGAGTTTGCATGGTTCAAGAAGTGTTGCATCGCACAAAAACTTAGTTAAACGCATTTGCATTTACTGGTGTCTTCAGACCTTCAATCAGCATGCGAGAGGGAATCAAAAGTCTTTCCTCGGTGTTTCGTATCTCTTCGATATACGGATGTCAGCAACACATCAAATGCATTTTCTTACTCTACTCTTAGTAACACAATGGCCGGCGACTGACTAAAAAATGATGCCAGCTGCTCTGAACTTCTCGAAAGCCTTCAGCCAACCCTGAATGGGATTGCTTTCCTCCTCGAAACCTGACGTTCTCAGCCTGTCTGGGCTTAGTTGTCGATCGAATTCCAGCCACCAACCGACACTGTCGAGCTGTTTATTCCCCACACCAACTCCAGCGCTGACTGCTTTCAGTTTTCCATTGTCTTCAAACAGTGACCTGTATTTATCTATGTATTCGCTTGGCTTGAGTTGGCATTCTTCAGCAGGACCGACACCCTGAAGACCAAACTATTCGGTGATCTTTGGCCACAGCTCGCGAAACGTAGTCGGACTACCATGATCAACTGCATTCAGAATCCTCCCGCCACACCTATCAGAATTGAGAGAAGCATGAATCGAGATGCGGCCTAAACTCCGTGTCGAGACAGGCGTGAACAATGCATTGTACCCGCCCTCAGATCCGGGAAAGGCGACTTGAACCTTACCATAATCGGCTGGCTCAAGTAGACCATGGTTGTACGCGTACAACGAAAGATATTGAGCCCAGTGTAAGGCGAGTGAGAAATTGGACCCGATTGGACTGAACCCAACAACAGCATCCGGACAAATTTCAGACCACTTCCAACTCCGATCTTTGCTTGCCTTTGTAAGAACACGTCTGTATCCTGGGTATGCGACTGTTTTGCCGTAGTCCGGAACCATGCTTTCCTCGAGTGGTGCTGTGAAGCTACCGTTTGGAATGTAAATTCAAGATTTCTATATATACATCATATAAATTATAGATTTCTTTCTTATTTTAAGCAAAAATCTATTTTTGGTATATTATTCAAATGCGCTTTATCGGTCTTGATATCATGCGAAGTATCTAAAATGAAAATGGACTAATTGGTCAAAATCACAGTGTTTTAACTTCGGTTTCGACGGATAATTTTGTAATAAATGAAGATATTCTGAATAGGAAACATACCTAGTAGGGTTGCGGATCAGAATTAATCTACTCCGTAGAGCAAGGTACGGTACTGGTATGCCACAACTTGGTAAGTGCACACGAACGAGACACAGTAAGATGATACATACCAATTTGTTGTATCTTCTAGTGCTTACTTCGTCATCCCGCAAGCCATAAGGTTACTCGTGCGGCTAGAAAGTATGCAACTCCGGCGCTATGAAAATCTGGTTAGTCCTTTTGTAGTTCACTATCTTGTGGTATATGCATCTAGCGTCGAAGCTGCATACTTTCTGGCCGCACGAGTAAAATGAACATGGTTATTATTAGACCAGCGATACCCCTTAGGGCTCTAGCGTCGAACTTATCATACATTATATGCCTATTTAGGCTAGCTTTTCCTCTCCATCCCCCACTAGTTATATACATAGGTAAGATCTTACATCTTTACATGTGTTTATATTGCATATCCGTACTAAGCCGAATATGACCATCTCTGAGAACTTTATCTGTGAGAAATCTGAGAGTTCATTCTGCTTATAATTCAGCCCTCATTTAATTGATCGGAATTGCCCGAGTCTAGATGTATTCCGTTAGGAGAGTCGACAACCTTATAACAAGGCAGTTTGGCTTAGGGAGTGGTGGTAAAATCCGTTAGTCTCATCATTTTTTTTGCGGATGCATGTCAGCGGCACGGCAGATCAAATTAGTGGCAGTTGCTAATTTGGCGAAGGACCCCAAGGCCCAAAGGCCATCAATCCATGTGATAGACATCCCCTTTGGAATGATATTTCATTCCGCATCCTCTTCTACTTTCTTCAGCCTCAGCCAAGTACCCCTTTCTATCCATCAAAAAAATGTCTTCATCATTTGTGGTTGTCATATGCCATGGATCTTACCACACGCCAGAGCCATATCGACCCTTCCAAGATGCTTTGACAGCCGCTGGCATTGAGTCATATTGCCCACAGTTGCCCTCGTCAGACTTGACGAAATTGAATGTAGGGGACCTCGCAAACCCAGATTATGATCGAGATATTCCGGCCGGTGGGTACCCGCAGCCATCGGATGATTTAATCATCATCAATGAATTGCTTCAAGACCTTATTAAAAAGGGCGAAAAAAACGTCATTGTTCTTGGTCACTCTTCTGGCGGCTTCACAGCGACCGCTTGTGCTATCCCAGAGTTGCAAGCAAATAATCGAAAGAAGCGTGGTCTCTCTGGTGGTATCATTGGCATTTTCTATGCTTGTGCATTCTTGATTCCTGTGGGGGATTCTGTGAATGGCTTCTTTCAGCCAAAAGATGGAAGTTCTCCCGTTGTTCCACCCTACTGCAAATTTCATGTAAGTTTTGCGTACTCAGCACCCGATGGCCGTCTCTTCAGGCATCTAAGCATTGCTAACGACGATCGATTTTCAGGTTCATGGAATGAATGGCGTTGCTTCTACAGTTGAGGGCGCCAAGTACTTCTTTAACGGGCTAGACGACGCTCAGGCTAAGAAATATGAATCCACATTGACGGCATCTCCGATATTCAAAACCATTTTGCATAACGATGCATATGTTGCTCTGCCGTCTAAATATCTTATAACGGAGGACGATTTAGCTTTGCCTACAGTTTATCAGGAAGGGATGATTGCACTACAAAACTCCCGACCTGGAGTCAACATAACTATCGTCAGATGCCCAAGCGGTCACTCGCCCCATTTGACCTGGATTGAAGGGTTTGTGGCAACAATTCAAAAATTTGGGAAGGGACTGTTAGCATAGATAGTCTGGTGCATCTCAACTGAAGCATTTATTGCAATAGTAACTGGTACTGCCAGCACTGTGATATCGAGGATCACAATCCAAGTCAGGTTTCTTGATGAGCCAGGAAATTTAGAGATCCGTCTTATCTGCTTTGATATCATTAAAATCTTACTTCAACTTTGTTTAGGATGCTTGCATTGTTATTGAAAAGTATTCTGCATGCATGTTGCGATTTAAATCATATCTGAGTCTAATTTCAGAGGTGATACGTAATCTCTTTTAGTATCAGAGTTAGAAGCCAGTTATAGTAGCTCAAGATGTTGTTTACACGACTTGTATAATTAGTCATATCCCAAGGTCCACCAATTTTGTGCCTTAGTTCTACAGCTCCTCTCTTTAAAACCAATCCCGCAAATGACATAATAATCAATCTTAATTATCTCAAAATCAATGTGAGGATTCATAATAAGTCCACTAAATCACTTATTAATATCTTACTAAATAAGGGATATCTTGATGACTAATACATATATAATATGATCTTGTATTATCAAATCATATTATCATATAGTTGTATAATAGTATCTCTTATCAAGTTGATTTATAATGGAATAGAATGAAATGGAACTAGATGGAAGTATATAGGAAATATCGCTAAATTGATTGGTTGTACTTTCTTTTTATTATCTAAAATGATTCTATAAGATTCGATTTAAATCGATCTTATTTATAAGCATAGAATATACTGGAATTTCATTATAAACTATATAAACCTAGAATATTCTTTAAAGAAAATCTAGGAAAAAGCAAGCAATTCATCTCAACTCAGCCTAGCTCTTCTAAATTGACTTCAATTCAACTCCTATTCTATATATTCGATTTATCCCTCAAGCTTAAATTGACTAGATCTTCCACTATCATTATAATAATACTATTCCTTATTATTATAAAAGCTAACCTCCAAGAATCAATTTAAGGGATTAAAACAGTTGAGGCAATTTTGAATCTGATTTTGAAAGCAGTAATATTTTATTAAATATCGAAATTTAAAATATTTTATTTAATTTATAATAATAAAATTAAGGTTGAATTAAAAGGAATAAAAGAGATATTTAAAGAATTAATTAACATTGAAAATCAATTTGAGAAGGAAAGTTTTATCAAAAGTAATTTTTTTGTGAAATCATTGATTCTTATATTTTTAATACTTCTAATTATCTTTATTATTATTTTAGAAATAATTATTTATATTTAGAAATCAAATAGAATTAGATTCTTTAAAAGTATAATAATAAAGTATTTAGAGATAAGGATATAGAGAGTTAATTCTAACTATTATACTGATAAAAAGTTATTAGCAATTTAATGATACTCTTATTTGCATGAGAATTAGATATAAAATGAGAAGCAAATTTTAATTCAAAGTAACCTTTAACAAAAAATAACTAAAAATCTAGTGATATCTTCGAATCTGATTATTATTAATACAATGATTATAGTATTTCAATCTTATTAGATTGTATTGAATTATAGTAGAGATATTGATAGATCACAACGGTGGTTTTTGGTGGTAAAGGTGTCCGAAATGAAGGGGTATGTAGGGGTGTCCGGTAGGTGCGGAGGTAGACTTATATCTTACTCGGAGCGTTAACCGAACCAGCACTGCCGGGCGCAGTCTCTTGGCGGCTATATCACTGAACAGGCTGCGAATAGTGCCCTCCTTCGACAGCAAGGCAATTTCTTGGGTCAACAGTAGCGACGGTAGTCAATTATAACTCTGATATCAGGATGCGTGCGTGTGAAACTGCGGTCAGGGCATTACTGAACATGATGCAAAGAGTTGGGAAACAGGCAATTATTGACTCATTTCGTACAGTAGCCGACGCCGTGGCCAAGAGAGAAGCAAGCTACAATTATCATCTCATCAGAATTCAACAATCTACAAACCTCCATTTAGTGATAACAAAAAAGTCTCAATTATCGTAGTCACCCCACCAGGCCTTCAAATCTTCTCTTCTCCAGCTCGTTACCCAGCCTGTCTCTTGTTCAATTCTCTTTAGTATATCTAAAATAGCTCGATGTTCGCTAGGGTGACTCATGACCTTTCCCGCAATCCATAGGGGCTGGATTGAATTTGTCCACGCACCGCTAATTGGATTAGCAATCGATTATCAAGAAGAGATGTGAAGATATGGACTTACTGATGTGTATTTGACTCGGAGATAGCACATATCTGGCGGGCATGCCAAAATATTGATTTCTGAATGAGAAAATTGTTAGCCAGAGATATGTGAAAATGCATTGAATGGTCGATTTCCAAGATAGATATTAATGAGAAGAAGCTAGCTTACTTGTCTTCGTTGTACTTGCAGCCTGTCTGGCCTTTCTTGCAACATTAACAACATTGCTGTATGATACAATTGGTTGCCGGAGACTAGTATTCGTTAGTCCAAATCAACAGGCGCATAAATCTTCAGTTTAACCTGCAGGCCCATTTCCATACAACACGGTCGGAAATGGGCGATGAATCTCGCTTTCATTGAGCGAAATACTCAAGATTGGCTTCATTTCCTCTGGTCTCACTGTGTACCAATCATCGAGAAGGTTAACAAGCTCAATCCACCGGCTATCTTGCGTTTCCGGAGCCCATCCTTTACAGGCTTTGAGGTATGCAACGCAGTTGGCGCACAAAAAGACTGCATAATTGGCGTATGTATCGAAACCATTATCTCGATTTCGGAAAAGCTTGACGTCAGACGAGAAGTCGACATTTGATGCCCAACGTGTTACCGGAATAAGCGTGATATCCTGAGAGATCAAAGCACCACAAAGATCTACGATACTTAGCTAGATTTCGAGGAATGGTGGCGGTATACGCTACCCATGCGAGCAAAACACCAGAACAAAGCTTCCTCCACCCCACCGACGAATCCATTGATTCCAACAGCCTCTAGTAAATTTGCACATCCTTCCAGATGCCTCCTCCATTCTTTTGGAGAACCTGATCATTGTCAAAACTGCTGTCGCCTAGTTTACGACGACTTACAACTCATCATTTCCAGTACACACAATATAACACAGGATGCTATCACAGCAGTATCCCTGCTTTGTAGCTCTGGCAGAAGAAGATGAATTGCTTCTTGGTACAGCGCTAAGCTTTCCGACGATGACTCGGAGGTTTCTTTCATTTCGATCTGGCGAGCAGATAAAGCCAAGATCGAGTTCTTGAGATGAGGGATTTTCCTGGCCATTATAGGTATCTTGTGTTCAAAATGGCGCTTGTTGTCGAATTTATCAAGCTAGAGCAAGTTAGTAAAAATGCGGAGTACAAGATAAATCCCATAATACCCATGGAGCGAGCTCATCAATCCAGGTTTTCCACAAAAGGTATTCTCGTTGTGGTGTAATCTCAGGTGGCCTGGAGTGCCCAGCTGATTCTGAGCTCAGGTCTGCCCCTTTATTTCCAGAGAAAGATCTCTCGGCGAAGCTAAAATCAGGTGCTTGTAAATCTGGGGTGCCTACGCGAGTCGGGCAGTTCGATCGCGCAGTGTAGATCAAGTGATCTCTCAAAGTCGAGTGAGATTCCTGAAACTCTGAGCCAGGCAGGAAGATACCATCCTGATGGTTATCGAAGACCTCAAGCTCGAGCATCTGTGCTTGATTGATATCCGTAAGAATACTTCTATTGTCGGGAGGAGGCCTTGATACCTGGGATACAGCAGTAGCGGATTTTGATTGCTGCAAATACCGTAGTGCTAGAAGATCAGCAGCTGCACCTTTGGGATCCGTCCGATCGCTCGACACGTCATGATTAGGAGATGTCATATGTTCCGCTTCTAGGTTGCTAATACAATGATCTTCATCGGAATACGACTGACCATGAGAAGCTTGACGGTGATACACAGATGACTCACTTCTCCGACTGGCGTCTACTTGCATATATTGATCGTTATCTTCTCTGGAAGAATTATCGTCAGGATACGATACGACCATTGAGTTGGGAGTGTTGAGTGAAGGAGACTCCGAACGCAATTGGGAATGGTACATGGAAGGTTCGTCAGTTACGGGGACCAGAGGTTCCAAATTCTCCCCCAGAGATTTATTGTTGTAAGGACTTTTGTAGCTAATTGCTACATGGGTATGACTTAGATTTATCTGTGGGTGATCGTCTATCCGAGATCCCTTCTCAATTTGTGGTGTTACATCCACAATCTTCAAGCCGGTTAGCTAGATCTACGAGATTTGACACCCCAAGCTACCTTAAAACTCCGAGCTCTTCTTTTAGATCCCTCCCGCATCGACGGATGTTCTGAGTCAATGTTCGTTGCATTATCGGTTCGGAATGTTATCTTCATTCCCCAATCGCACCTCTCCCCTCTCTCATGACAATTCATACATTCTGGTCTGAGCTCGTCACCTGAGGTCAACTGTTAGCATTTCTAATTTCGGGTTGGCATGGCATTGACTGAGACCATACATTTCCTTCGTCGCCGACGGCAAACAAGACACCCTGATCTGGTCCGTGTCTGCTTCGCTTGGACAAGGATGCCGGAGGTCTTTGCGACAGAGGGTTGAAGCTCACTGCTGCCTTCCATAGTAAGAATAGGTCTGCTCCGGAGCATAGACGCCTGCTGTCTAAAGGTTACCAAAAAAAAGCAGGTTTCTCAATCCATCTGCTTTTGCCGCGAGCTCCGTTTCCCCGCACCCTAGTACGTACTCCACTATTTGCACTAAGAGTGCCTCAAACTTCCTATTTAGGAAATTATAAAATTATGTAATTTAATCTTGGCACTGGTGCACCAAGACCCATGTTTCAAAATTCACACGTGATCTCCAGCTTGTACACTAGGTACATGTTACTCTACTCGGCGTTATTAAAATATACAGACATAACTCTTTGCCAACTGGAAAGCTCAGCTCTCAGCTGAAGTCATCTTCTTCCGATCCGTACAGGCTCTCAACTAACAAAATATTGTGCTAGTTATATCTACAAGGATGCCTTAGGCAGTGCACCGTTATCAATGTGTTCAACATTTGTCTTCTCCCCAAACTTCGCTCGAAGATCTTCCTGAGGTACGTCGGTAGCGATTATAGATTCCTTCCAATGCAACAAGACTTTTTCACCAATGAATAACTCATCGATTTGCTCCAGAGTCAGGTTTTTGGTCTCAGGATAAAAGAAGTAGATGAGTGGAAGGAAGCAAGCGTTGAAGACTATATGCTGTATCAGAGGGCAACGTTCGATTTGTGTGGAAGAAGACTACATACCAGCAAAATATATATATGTCTTCCATTTGATACTATTAATGCTGACAGGTGTGATCTCAACTACTAGGAAGGTAAAAATCCAATTTGATGCGCTAGCCAGAGAGGCTGCGGGAGTTCGAATCGCTAAAGGTGCATACTCGGTAGGTACTGATACGATTAGCATTGACGTTATAACTGGGCCTGATAGACTTACGAAGCCATGGGATGGCTAAAAAGCCCACTGCGAAAAAGAAGTTGAAGAGGAAGAGCATTACAGTTGCGACATAGCCTGCGCTCGCCGATCCATTAGAGATCGTGCCAGCTAATATTGCCATGCAAACCGCCTGCCCTGCTGCTGCAAACAACATGAGTTTTCTTCGGCCGAGACTGGAAAAATCAGTATTTTCCACCCGTGTAGGTGTGATCTAGGAAGTCTTACCGGTCAATCAACCAGATGGGTATCAAAGAGGAGAGGAAATAGGCGACCCCGTTGAAACCAGAAAGCAGTAAAGAGATACTGTGCGATAAGCCGACCGACGTCTCAAAGATTACAGGGGCATACTTCCTGTTGTCAGCTAAGGAGCGACCGATCGAGCGAAAAAATTTGGGGACTCACATAAGTGATAAGATTGATGCCACTCAGCTGTTGCATAAACTGGCTACCGATACCCAATAGAGTACGGTGAAGGAACCGCTGGGGACCGTTCTTCAGAAGAGCTCTTTTTCCGCCAGACCCCTCGGCCGCAGCTCGCTCCTCGTAGATTGCATGTTGGATCTCGGCCATTTCCTGATGAATTACCGCGTCCGAGGGCTCAATTGAATTTGCGTTTGGTTCAAGAGCCCAAAGGATGTGTCTGGCTTCCTCGGGTTTATCATGTGCAAGAAGCTGCAGCCATTAGCTAAGTTAGTTAGCAAGAAGAGAGGACGAAAGCTACGTACCCATCGCGGGCTCTCTGGAAGCACAAGAACCCCTGCGAAAGTGACAACAGCAAACACAATTTGTAGAGCAAGTGGCACTCGAAATTGAGCGGCACTATTCACAAAACTGAAACCATAGTCCACCCAGTATGCCATCATTACACCACTGGGATATATCAGCAACTTTTCTCGGAGGATCTCATCCCAACCTACAATATATTGATCGCGAGTTCCACGGCAAGACCCTTCCCTCTCTTGTGAGCCTTCATTAATTCGGCATGCCATACTGGAATGGTGCTTGTGTTCATCCCATTCCCCAGCCCCGCTACGATCCGGCCTACGATCAGTTGAGGAATAGTGTTTGAAGAGGCTTGGAGAGCAGCACCGATTGAGAGCACGACGCAGCCAATCATTATACACTTCCTTCGACCCAGCCTTTCGCCGAACAGGAAGCAGAATAATGAACCGAAGAAACAACCCTAACGACATTAGTATGAGCTCGACGACTGTGGTGTAGGGTAGCCTTACGATCTCATATATGGCAACACTATTCATGTAAGTACGAAGTATGTAAAGCCGACGGTGATATGACTTACACAGTCCCCTGAAGTGACGAACTGCCTTTACCAGTAGGTGTTGTGTCAATCTCTGGGAATTGACGGGTAAAAGCATTGCCCGTGAGAAGTCCACTCATTACACCTTGATCGTATCCAAATCTTGCGGAATTGTTAGGAATTGAGTATCTCGAAGGGACGGTGTTGGGGATACTCACAGGAGAAAACCGCTTCCAGCAGTCGCCGTGATAGCCCACGACAGAGGGGCGCCCGTGTGAATTGTCATTTTCGCTGTGCTTAACGGGTAGATAGAAAAGCAGCTTCAGATATTGAATGGTTATCTGTATTCCGATTCAATCTGAAGAATGAAGTTGATGGATGAAGGAAGGTCTTATACACTGTAATCTCAATGAGCTGTGCCTTTTTCCAAGAGCCAAATTTCAACACTGTGGGGTCGCATCCTGGGGCCCCATTTCCCAATGTTTAGAGAGCCTGCAAGCCGGAGAGACTAGTAAAAGGCTTTGCGGAGAGCAAGGTTCTACATTGACTACCTAGTCATAAGATGATTTAAGATATCTAAAAGAGGAAGTTTTAGGCACTCAGGCGACTAGGATGGCCCCTGTCGAGCGCGCCATCCAGGGCTCCACTACAACCTGTTGCCCCGCGTGGAACCATCGTTGGCGCTATGGTTTTGAACAAAATCGTGAGACGTAATGCTCAGAAGATTGAACTAACCTATTTTCGTGGGAATCAATTCAAGCCTGTCTCGGCTCCCTTGGAACGGATGCACCTGGAACCCTTCACCATGGGCAAGGCACATGGCTAGATCGCATAACCTGCTTCACTGGAAAATGAAGGGACGGAAAATGGCCGCGCTCTGATGTCTATTGATAGACGTCCTCATTCAGTTTATCGAGACTTCTACTGAAAACCTGGACTTCAGCGCGGCAGAGGTAGCGGCGAGGAAGGATGCCGATATCACAAGAAAATTGGATGCTGTATTGGGGAGAGCGAGTTACGTCGGGAAGGATAATCTTCAGATCGAGGAAGCTGGAATGTGAGTGCCGGATCTTGGTACTGTGGAGGTATGTAGTGTTCTACGGAGTATTGGAAGAGCGCTGCGAGAATTGTCAGGGTGATAATGTGCGTTTTTTGTTTCGGCTTGGTATCATACAGTCCTCGTGACTAGTCGACCCAGAATTGATATCTACGATCTTAAATATAGTCAGTATTTTACCAGCAGGTCTTTACCCTTTATCAAGATTTTATAAGTGTTCCTGGTAGTTCTATCGATATCAAAATCGCAATCTGCTAGGTACAGTCGAATTGTCTCTTTGTACTGCCCCATGCAGCTCCTGCTCACCAAGCTAGAGCGCCCAGTAACTGGACTCACGAGGGCCGTAGCAGTTCGATCGCTGATCATGGTAGCCATCAAGTCCTTCATTAGACTCAACAGGCTTTCAGTCCTCCTTATAGCCCTTTCAGAGCAGCTTGGGTGGTTGTTTAGGAAATAATGCCCTGGGCTCTGTACGATGCTTGCACACGCATCGTCTTCATTTCTGATATTTTCTTACAGTTGCTTACGAAATGTATATTGACACACAACCCTCCAAAACCTCTTGTCCATATACGCAGTTTTAATGTAATTTATTTGTTCAAAAGATTTGATAATCCAGCCAATAGCAAAGAAAAATCATGCGGAAGCACAATGTCCCCCGTCGACTCTAAGATCTGCACCAGTCATCCATGAGCTACCATCAGCAAGTAAAAACACAGCGGGGGCCCTAAAATCCTCAGGTACCCCGAGTCGACCCAACAAAGCACCTGCCATCCATGTCTTCTCCACCTCTGGCTCAGCAGCGAGAAGCCCGTCCGTCATCGCTGTCCTAATATACTGAGGCATGGTCAGAGATAAATTCGAAAGATGGTGAGAAAACCTACTCCTGGAGATAGAGTATTTACTCTGATTCCATGAACACCCCATTCCTGAGCAACAGATCTACACATCTGTTGCACAGCTGCCTTCGAAGTATTGTATGCAGTACACGTCAAACCCTACAAGACCGTGATTAGTATGCCTTGATGGTCGCTAATTGAGCAGCTCATACCCTATTTGCGACTTGGCCCGACATAGATGCAATCATAATCACGCTACCCTTCGTCCCCTCGGCTATGAAGATCCTAGCCGAATGTTTGACGGTCAAGAAAGTTCCGGTTACATTGACATCCATGACCCGTCTGAAGCCATCGACCGGATATTCCACTGCCGGGATTTTTTGCTGGATGCCGGCGCAGGCAATGATCCCTTGGAACGGAGCACCAAGCTTAGAGCCGGCATCTGCGATAATATCTAGAGTAGCTGAGATTTCATCTTCGAGGATGATATCGCATTGGTGGTATGATACGGTGAGATTGGCTGATTTCGCGATGGTTTGGAGAGATGTCCATTCGGGTTCAGATGGTGAGAGAAGAATATCGATGCATGCTACATGGCCGCCAGCCTCAAGTACAGCAGCTGCGAGTGTAATCCCCAAACCTCTGCCTGCTCCCGTTATGGCTATTGTGCGCCCTGCAAGGGAGAAGAGGGGATTTGTAGGCCTTAACCCCGGCAAGGGGGGAACATTTGGCTCAGCTAGACTGCCCATCCTGAAGAAATAATGCTATAGAGTTTGATATGAGTAGGAGTAAAATGAAGAGGTATCTTATTTCAAGACCAAGCAAAGAAGATTTCGCGGATGGGAAGCAAGTATGGCAAGGAAATTACATTCTTGAAGATGCGTTCAAATAACTCCATTGTGGCTCACGTAGCGGCTATTGAATGCTAATTCTACATAACTTCAAGAGAGACTTCCGTTGAGTCGATCTTGAAAATGCCTATGACTTCCTCTTACGCTCATAAAATTGAGCTAGAGATGATGCGAGAGTCTGATTGTCGTAGAACTTCCGGAAGAGGAAACTGTAAGCACCCAGAAAAGTGGAGCATTGGGTGGACAATGCGCTTCCTTGTCTTACTTCCGCTTTAGGTTAAAGTCTAGCGTCGCCAGTCACTTTTTTGTAGCAAAAGAGCAATACCAGCCTTGATACGCCAGAGTTAAAACGAGGTAGAAAGTACCAACCGGGAGCTGATGGCAGGAGGCCATTCAGAAATAGCTGACCGAGCTGTTTTGCCTATTGGGGCAATTATAAGCACTTTCAAGGGGATTCGGTCGATATCGATGAGCAGGCAACAAGAGCTGAGATGAGGTTTATATATTTGTTTCTCGCCTACCCATTCTCTGTAGCAATCGCTACACCTGACTTCCACCGATCGAAATTATCCATAACATGCTCCCCTCAGCCGTTGAAACGCCGTCGCCTACGGATTCCAAAATGCAGCTTTTTCCCAACTCTGGAGTCCCCGACGAGCTTGTCAATGTTAAATTTGAAGGAGCTGAGCTAAACAGCCGTGTTTTAAACACATTCAGATGTCTCATCGCAGATCTCTGTGAACAATTCAAAGGTGGCCACCCTGGAAGTGCTATGGGAATGGCAGCAATTGGTGTCGCTCTGTGGAAATATGTAATGAAATATACGCCAGAAAATCCAAAGTTCTTCAATCGAGACCGATTCGTTCTCTCCAACGGTAGGCAGTGATCTCGATTATTGAGTGCTTCCAAGTTTTAGGGGATGAGGAATAGACGATCATAGCACTTCTCTGTACTGACTTTGGAAGGTCACACATGTCTCTTTCAATATACTTTTTTACATCTTGTCGGATACAAGAACATGACTTTTCAACAACTCACATCCTACCACTCCGCAAGAACGGACTCGATTTGCCCGGGACATCCAGAAATCGAACATGATGGAATCGAGGTTACCACGGGACCTCTGGGCCAAGGAATTGCAAATGCAGTTGGGTTAGCAATGGCTACAAAACATCTGGCAGCTACATACAACAAAACAAATTACCCAATAGTGGATAACATGACCTGTTGTATGATCGGCGATGCTTGTCTACAGGAGGGTGTTGCGCTGGAGGCTATTTCTTTAGCTGGTCACTGGAGGCTCGATAATTTGGCAGTGATTTACGACAACAATCAGGTTACATGCGATGGCTCTGTGGATCTATGCAACAGCGAAGATGTCAACGCTAAAATGATTGCCTGCGGATGGAATGTGATTGATGTACACAATGGCAGTTACGATATTGAGGCAATAGTTCGAGCGCTTATGGCAGCACGAAATAACAAGGATAAACCTACTTTTATCAATATTCGGACAATAATCGGTATTGGCAGTCAGTCTGCCGGCGACGCCAAAGCACATGGGGCTGCTTTTGGTGCGGAAGATGTTGCAAATATCAAGCGGACGTTCGGTATGGATGAGACAAAGCATTTCCAAGTATCGGACGAGGTTTATGCTTTTTTCCGGGACTCGAAGCCGCGAGGAAGACAGATCGAGACCGACTGGAATCAATTACTAAAATCATATGCAACTGCTCACCCAGTACTATACGAAGAATTCATGCTTCGTGTAGCAGGGAAGCTGACGGATGATTGGGCGAAGTTCATTCCTGCGAAGGCAGAATTTCCTACTAGCCCAACGCCATCGAGAAAGTCATCTGGGCTAGTTTGCAACCCTCTCGCGGAGAACATCAAAAGTTTCATGGTGGGAACAGCTGATCTGTCACCTTCCGTAAACATGATGTGGAAAGGAAAGGTGGATTTCCAGCATCCAGGTCTGAAAACCTCGTGTGGTATTAATGGAGATTATTCCGGACGATATATTCATTGGGGAATTCGAGAGCATGCAATGGCTTCGATATCTAACGGTCTAGCAGCATTTAACAAGGGAACTATCGTTCCTGTCACTTCCTCATTCTTCATGTTCTACATCTACGCTGCACCAGGAATCCGAATGGGTGCCCTTCAAGGGCTGCAGCAGATTCATATCGCAACACACGATTCCATCGGTACAGGAGAAGATGGGCCGACGCATCAGCCCATTGCGCTGGCAAGTCTTTATCGCGCCATGCCAAATATCCTATACATTCGACCTGCCGATAGTGAGGAGACGGCTGGTGCATATATCGCTGCGCTAGCCGCCACCAGCACTCCTACCATCATCTCCCTCTCGCGACAGAATCTCGAGCAATATCCACAGTACTCATCACGCGAGGGTGTTCAGAAAGGTGCCTACGTTTTCATCGAAAAAGAGGAAGCTGACGTGACCTTGATTGGTATCGGTGCCGAAATGGTATTCGCAGTGAAAACAGCAAGTCTCCTGGAGAGTGAGTTTGGCTTGAGGGTGAGGATCGTTAGCTTTCCATGCCAGAGACTCTTCGACGAGCAATCCTTAGAGTACAAGCGGCAAGTCTTACGGTACAGAAGCCAGACACCACGTGTTGTGATTGAAGCTTATGCTGTCAATGGCTGGGAGCGGTATGCTGATTCTGGCTATTCGATGTCTTCATTTGGACACTCGCTACCTGGGGCGGACGCGTACAAATATTTTGGGTTCGATGAGAAGGTCATCGCGCCTAAAGTTTTCGAGTTGGTGCAAGACGTGAGAAAGAATGGTATTGACACCTTGAGAGGGGAGTTCAGAGATCTAAATGTCAGAAGCCATTAGTATTTTCAATAGCAGCTGTTTTCCTGTACAATGAATAATATGACCAACCTCCTTACGATTATAGACTTTCAAGTAGCAGCGATTTTGTTGATTCTGATGTTTCACCTGATATAGAACAGAGGCAATGCTCGAGAAAGCACGCTAAACGCATTAGTCGTATTAGATAATTATCTTGTTTGATATAGTCAACTTGATCATATATAGATATTATAGATTAATTATAGTTTTTCTATTTTCTGATTATAAATGATCTAAATACTCAAAAACTATTTTATATTCTAAATCTTTTAATTTAAAAATACTTTTTGATATCAGAAATAATACTATTAATTATTAATATATATTTATAATAAAATAAAATCTATATATTATTTATAAAGAATAATACTAAAGTAATTTAATTTAGATTTATAAAAAAAATATAGTTTTTTTTTATTAATTTAAATCTAAATTCTTAACTATCTTCTTAAAATCCAGAAATATAATATAGAAAAACCTTGGAGACTATATAATATAAGAGTTGGATCGCTCACGTGATACTTTGAGACCTGAAAAGCCGCCATGATTTATAAGCGCAAATGGCCATGTACATCTGCCTTGATTTGCGCTGTTCAATATCCGGATGTAAATTTTTACATCGTGAAAATATTGAAGCTTTTCTCTACTTGCACGAAACAAATAGTACTTTATTCAGCAATCATGGCTACAACAACCGACGTCTCCCCTCTTTGCGACTCTTTCAATACACAAGCCTCGACCTATGAGCGACGACTTGGGGGTAGTACTCGTAGAGTCATTGAATACGCTATTTCTCTTCTATCTGACTTACCTGAAAACCCAAAGATACTCGACAGTGCCTGTGGACCAGGTATGGTGACAGAAGCCATTTTAAAGGCATATCCCGATGCCCAAGTTCACGCCGCAGATGTTGCACCAGGCATGATAGCTTTGCTTGATAATCTTATCAATAAGAATGGCTGGCAGGATCGAGTTAAGACGGGTGTTATGGACGGTGTGAGTTTAAGCTACGCCAATGAGATCTTTGATTTTTCTATAACAAATTTCGGGATTTTCTTCTACTCTGATCCCATTATTGGTGCAAAAGAGCTGCATCGCACTTTGAAACCCGGTGGAAAGGCGGTTGTTACATGTTGGAAGGAAGTACCATTTTATCCAATTCTTCACGCAGTCCAGGCGATAATCAGACCCGGTACCGAGCCTGTCGCCATGTCCACACTCGATCGCTGGACTCAAAGAGAAACGATGGAATTGACGCTAAAGTCCGGAGAATTCCACGACGTGGAAATCTACGAGAAGGAGGTTATGTGGTGGAACGAAGGTGTTCACGAGGCGGCTAAAGGATTTACGGATAATTTCATGAACATGGTAGGGGATCAGTGGCCAGAGGAAGAAAAGAATCAGCTCCTTGGGGCCACAGAACTTCTTCTGAAAGAGAATAAGAACGGTTTTATAGTGAGGTCTGGCGATAAGATTGGCTTTCGCATGGTTGCTTGGATAGCCATTGCAACCAAAACTGTGTTGTAAGATGGTTGAAACACATATTGATCAGCGACTTATCCTAGTTTTTATTTTGACTTCATATGTACGTGTGGCTATCAATTAACACACAAGTCGGTGTATATATAATTATATCTCAATTTCCTATTACAATGGATCTCCATGCTACTTTGGCAAGGTGATGTCTAAATACTGAAGCGAAGTACTTTCTACGATGGTGATGTTTGGAAATAACATGCCATCCATGGAACTGTTCCTATTACTCTCCTACTTTCCCATAAAATATAACAGCTGCTCTGATCTCAACTCTCTCTCGGGGTCTTGCGCTGACAACATCGCTACAATTCTTGGAGGTTAGCTTTTTTAATAATAAGGAATAGTATTATTATAGTGATAGTGAAAGATCTAGTCAATTTAAGCTCGAGGGATAAATCGAATATATAGAATAAGAGTTGAATTAAAGTCAATTTAGAAGAGTTAGGTTGAGTTGAGATGAATTGCTTGTTTTTTTCTAGATTTTTTTAAAGAATATTCTAGGTTTATATAATTTATAATAAAATTCCAGTATATTCTATATTTATAAATAAGATCGATTTAAATTATATTTTATAGATGTTGGTTTGAGAGAGATACGGAAGACGTGGTTCCCACTATGTGTAGGCCCCTAAATGTCTATTTGTATTCAATCTAAGGAGCTAGCTAAATGAGGGAAATAGTAGGCCTTATATAGACACTACTGAAAGAGCTAGTCTCCTTCGCTTTCGCCTAAATACCTTTAATACAGTTGTCATTGTATGGAAGTCATTTCCTTGAAGTGAATTCCTTTGAGTGAATTCCCTTGTTCATATAATAGAGTTATTTTAGATAATAAAAAGAAAGTACAATTAATCAATTTAGCGATATTTCCTGTATACTTCTATCTAGTTCCATTTTATTTTATTTTATTATAAATCAATTTGATAAGAGATATTATTATACAATTATATGATAATATGATTTTATAATATAAGATCATATTATATATGTATTAGTCATTAAGATATCCCTTATTTAGTAAGATATTAATAAGTGATTTAGTGGACTTATTATGAATCCTCACAACAATCAAAGGAAGCATGGGGACAAACTATGAAAAATAGTTGTTAGCACAATTTCACAGGAAAGATTCACAGAACAAGTCCCTACATCGAGATACGGAGTCATCAGAATCAAAGATTTTGAAAAGCAACATTTCGTCCGTCTTTTGCCCATCCAAAAATTACCATTTATGCTCGGTATTCTGGAAGATTTGTTACGTCGCTGACACTGTTTCGGGAAATACGCTGTCTGAAGGAATAAGATCTTCTTCAAGGTTGATTGAGCGACTGTCGCATAGTGCTAGTGGTCAGTCATTAAATCATCGAAGAGAGGACGCCATGTACTTCAAATTCTGAATTAGCTTGGAGGCGTGTGATAGATTGTGGTTGAAACCTACTTAATTATCTGTATTTTGCCCTCGAGACGTGCTCGCTCAGCTGGTGTATCACAGATATAAACAGCGCGCTCAATGGCGCTTGTTGGCGAGGAATCTATTCGACATTTTCGTCAGTCCTTAGAATTGCAATGTGTGCAATTTACATCATGATAAAGATGAGTTTGAGTTACGAACCAACATGAACTCCTCTCACATGCTGCTCGAGAGCTGAGCGCTCGTCAAGTGATCTTGGGAACTCTTGGTTTCTTTTCCGCAACTTGATCAAGATTAGTACCTTAGTAGAGTGACCGTTGAGGCTTAATCTTGGGACTACTCACTTCCTCTTGGAAAACAACAACTTCTTCTGCCCCAAGCCTTTGTTTCAAAACTTTATCGATCTCACTTTTATACTGTTCCATTAGAGTGTTATCCTCTCGAAGATTCTTGAGTGTATATTTGGCGTCCAAGGGATGCTCAAGAACCTCGAACCCGTTCTTGTTCAGCGTAAAACTGTGCTCTTGTCCATGGAGACTCGTTATAGAAATTTCCGAAGAAATATACTTTTGGTTGGTTACAGGCGCCCCATTTAGAATTTTCGGCGGAATATAGCAGAATCAAGGCTTGGTACTCTCATATAAGACATCACGCTTGAGGTAAAATACTGTTCCTGTAGTCTGCTTCATAGTATTTTTATCTGGAGATTCCCAATATGAGATCAAATGGTTTTGAAAGAAGAATTTTACTGTACAAACTTCAAAGTTGCGCTGCTGGCCACGGATGTTCTCTGATTCATGGAGGGTGATAAATGAGGAATCATCATCATACCACGAGGATCGCACACAATGAAGATCGAATTCCCGACAAGAACCGCGGTGAAGTACTGATCAAAAAGAGTAAACTGCGAACTATAGGGTGTGTGGCTCGGGATATCAGAGCTCAAGAGCTCCATGGACACGGGGTACTCCAATGTCGGCCCACCCAGAAAATCTGGAAACAGACATTGCAGGGCTCTTGCTGGAACCCTATAGTCTTCATTAAATTTGCGCAACTACAAGGAGGTTTGTCATGAAATTTTCAAGTTAGGTTGATGAGCTGACAAGAAGTGATCTTAGGTGTCGCTGCTTTCTCCGACTGGTCCCTATCACTCATTCCAATCTGGATCGTCAAAAATCTCCACTTAGACAAGAGAAACAAAATTATTCTATGCATCCTCATCGGGCTGGGAATAATGTCAGTTTGAGTTCTCTCTCTCTCTCTCTCTTGCTTTCACTAGTTTCTGCGCTAACGGGAAACTTTACACAGTTCCGGTATATGTGCGATTGTTAGGACTGTCTATCTTATATCATACTTCGACCAAAAATACCCCACCTGTATAAGTCTTGTACACATTTCTCGTCACAATCGGACAATTGACTTTTATTACAGATACCAATGTGAATCTATTGATATGGGCTGGGTATGTATTCTACCTCCACACTTGACCTTCATTGCTAAAATCTCCTCAGGCTCGGACGAAATATTGCCTGCATCGTCGCTTGTGTTCCAGATTGTCGCCCTCTTGGCAAACAATTTGTACAAATAGTCAGTGTAGGCAATAGTGTACTACAGTGAAACTGTGGCGCGTATTAGCATATTGATATTGCAGCTAATACGTATAGAAAGGAGGTTATACTACTCTCGTACATATTCATATGCCTAAAGAATACTAGCAATATACTGAAATACTGAAATCCAATATAAAATATATATTCCCTATCCAAATTAGACTAGAAATAAAGGATTCCTATTTATATTAGGTAATAAAATTCCATTCCTTATTTTAAATTGAATGGGAATCCCTTATTTCAAGTCTAATTTGAATAGGGAATGTATATTTTATATTGGATTCCAGTATTTCAGTATATTGCTAATAATATTAAATAAATAAATGATATTGAATACTTTCAGTGGTATCGAATTTCATATTACGTATGTATATATTTCGAAAAAAAACTCGATACGCATTACTATCTAACCCGTATACGGATTACGGGAAATACTATTGCCTACACTGCAAATAGTAAGCGAAACCAGCACTAGATATCGTACCAGGCGCGCCGGCTATTCCCAGCAACCAGCTCAACATGAGCTCTTCAAGGTTAGGAACAGATCAAAATTTGTCCCCGGCACCAAACATTCCTTGGACCAGAACCAGAGCACATATCATCTAAAAGCGACGGCAACGGCAGGCTCAGCTCGTAGTGACCAAAGCACATTTCCTTTACAAAACAACAATGCTATCCGCGCGACTACTACAGTAAGAATGGACACTGCGTGAGATTTCTGGAGGATAGGGCTCGATGATGGTAGAGGATCTAGAGACGTCTATGGCTTCCTACAAGTATAGCTCAATTACTCTCAAATTTCAAACTCCCATTTTCTGCCCCCTCAAAAACCAGTATTCTAGGCGTAAAGTTGTTGAATATGTTTACTGCTCTTGATTTAACTTGGTTTCTGTTGCTCGGAATTAGCTTTGTTTGCAGAAATACTGGTTAATCACAGAGAGTTATCGCCCTTGAGTTGATGTAATGAATTCCAGAAATAGAGTGTTCGGAAATTTGACTTGAAGATATTTGGACAGGATGTCGATTGTCACTAGCATAAAGCGCTTGGGAACGTGTGTAATCTTTATGTTACGCAATTACCATAAAATTTGAACATCTTCGAGTGCATGGCATAATTTTATGCTTTTGGAAGCACGATGCGTTCAAGTAGGTATTCATATATCGAGACTATCGTTCGTGGAGGATAATTCTTCTTCCAGAACTAATTTGCTCTTGGTAGCTAGCTATACATCTTTCATACATGCGATACTTGTATTCTCACTCTTCAACTTCAATCCATATCAAACTTTGACTTTAAACTTAGTTCCAACTCTCATTATACGTGCTGCAATTGAGCAGAGCCCTGAAATGACCAGCAATGCACCAACCCAAACCTGTAATGATGCCCAGCTACCCCGGCTCTGAAGAAGCGCTCCACCGATGGGACTACCCACGAGGAAACCAAGACCTGAAGCCCCAAGAGCCATTCCCATACGGCTTCCCATAGTCTGTAGATCATTCGTCAAACTCATCACACTGGAAGATGGCATTGAGGCGAAGCACCCGCAGAAGAAACCATACACTACACACCATACAACCAATCCAGCAGTATTCTTCACTGCAATCCAGCAGAAACAAAGAATTGCAGCAATGAACGTGAATGGGATCTGCATATTGAGTGGGCCAGTCTTATCAGCGTAGAAATTAGGTACTATGCGGCCGATCGTTGAGCTACCGTTGATAATGGCGAGCAAATAGAAACTGAAGTTTTCGTTCATATGGCATATTTCCAGGGCGTACAGCTGAACATAGTAGAAAGGGACGTAAATGCCCATGAAACCGAAAAAGGTGCCCAGGCAGAAGACTAGAAACGGTTTGTCGCGAAAGGAATTTGCGTTATATAATTTGCGCCGCGTTGCTGGCTGGATACGTTGTTTCATTACAGCAAGTGGAACAATAAATAGGGCTAGCATAACGAAGGCGATAATTCTTGTTGCCCAGCCTGAATCAAGACGTAGTTGTATCCTGCTGGATATAATTGGAAAGATCACACCGCCTATATTTCTATTTAGCCTTGACAATATCATATGAAAGAGGCTGACTTGCCTATACTGCTACCCGTAGAAGTGATACCATATGCAAATATCTTCTTTGTAGTAAAGTATTGGGGAATGATCGAAACAGCACCAACAAACAAGCAGCCAGTACCGAAACCCACAAGTACTCCTTGTGATAGAATCACTTGCCAATAAGTCTTGGCAATGCTGGCAAGCATCATTCCTAAAACACTCAAAATTACGCCACTCCAGATCAAAGCCCTCATGTATCCGGCATCAAATATAGGGCCAGCGGCGGCACCTACGACGTATAGAAGGGCAGCCTGAACGGAGCCAATCCATGAGATAGTAGATTCGGATTCGAAGCGTAAAAGATTGGTCTGGTAGAAGGTTTGATATACACCATAGGTATTTATGATCCCCCTATTATAAGATGATAATGTCAGAAACTATAACACTTCTTACTTGGGTGGGAAAGTATCTACCAAGTGTTTACGAAGATACACCAAGACCCGGCAACGTGCAGCCATGATATAAGATCACCATTGGGGATTTCAACGGTAAGAAGTGGCACTTCTCCACCTGCAGGCTCAACTGGATTTTTATGGGAAGACTTTTCTGTATCGTGCTGTTGTGTGCTGCTCGGAAGAATTATCATGGAACTTTGGTATGGCACATCTATCTCGTGTTTCCCCTCAACTGGGTCCTTTTCGGCAGCCATATTAGGTAACGAAGAAGATTGAAATTGCAATGAAAATGAATAGCAGCTTATGTGACCCTCGAGTTTGTTGATACAACGATGAAGAAAGAAATGAATATTGATACCTCGAAGAGATTACAATGACTTCCCTCTACCGAATGCGATTTTTGAAATCCCTGTAACTAGCTCGGACAATTTAAAGCGAAGCCATTCAAATACCGATAATCCATCATATCTAGATTGTAGCATGTGGCGTAGCAAGGTTGCATTACATTAGCTCCACTTTTTCAACTGTTTATACCTGCCGAAAAAGTTGTGTTGATGACCCGAGTTTGGACATACCCCTGTGTTTAAGCCAGACTGAAAGGGGATTTAGACCGAAGGTACCTATGTCATGATTATCTGCAAGTAAAATCACGTCCAGGGGTATATGCAAAAGTTACCAATTGAGCACGAAGAGAAAGAAGGTCGGTTATAAAGCTTCTCCCGGCTATTATTGAGTACTCCTAAACTCCAACGCTACTGTACTTCAATTTCTCAAAAGATCGTATTTTGGGGCAGATCAATTGTGCTCAACATTTTCTCCAACCAAAATCAATTTTCATACCATCAAATCATGGATGAAATTCCATCTGATTGTGGCCAGAGACTGCTTCCAACATTAATTGACCACTATGCGAAGTCTCAACCAGAAAGAACTTTTGTTGCTATCCCAGCCGCAAAAGATCTCAAAGGTGGATGGAGAGATGTGAGCTATCTCAACTACTCCCGAGCCATCAACTGGTGCTCATGGTGGATCGAAGAGCACCTTGGCAGAGGAAATGACTTTGAAACAATGTCATACATGGGACCACTTGATCTTCGATATCTGATCATACTCATGGCTGCCACAAAGACAGGCTATACTGTATGAAGAAATCACCTTCCATAAGTTGAAATAATACTAAATATACATCATTGCAGGCCTTCTTCGCTTCCAATCGCAATAGTCTAAACGCACACCTGTCCCTTCTCAAATCCACCAAGTGCAACACACTTGTGATTGCTGAAAATGGAGCACCCGTGATTTACAAACAGATCATTGCACAACGGCCGATGCGTGTTAAATCTATGCCCGATCTAGACATCTTTCTGAATCTGGACGACAAAGTCACAACTTATCCATTTGAGAAGACATTTGCTGAAGCACGATATGATCCATTGATAATAATGCATACATCTGGTTCAACCGGGTTTCCCAAGCCAGTCTTCGTCAAGCATGGAACCTGGGCAGCCATGGATGCGTACCAAATGATACCACCAAGCAATAAAGGACCTCTACACTCCGACTATCTGAGAAGGAGGCGAGTGTTCCTCAATCTGCCGATGTTTCATGGAGCATGTGAATGTTTCATATATGGCATGGGTGTATATGGCGGAGCGATTCCCGTTCTCCCACCCTCGGGCCCTCGAACTGCGGAAGTATTAGATATGGCACATAGATATGCCAATGTCTTTGGTAGCATTGCACCACCTTCTATCTTGAAAGATCTGTCTGAAACACCAAGATACTTTGATGGCATCACCAATCGAGTGAGTTTTGTTGGTTTTGCGGGCGGTTCTTTGTCGCAGGAAATTGGAAACAAAATCTCCAAGACAATCAAGGTCATTGGATATTTTGGGTCAACGGAGACTGCATATCTGCCATGTCGTATCTCGAACGTTCAGGATTGGTTATACTATAATTACAGCTCATACCTGGGCCACGAATATCGGCCTCGACCTGACGGACGGCATGAAATGATAATTGTGCGCGACCCGAAGCTAGAACTATATCAAAGCATATTCTGTACATTTCCTCAATTGAAAGAGTACTCAACAGCCGATTTATATGAACAGCATCCGACAAAGCCAGGTTATTGGGCACATCGTGGAAGAGCCGATGATATCATCGCTTTTTCGAGCGGTGAAAAGACGAATCCTATAACATTTGAGGAAACAGTGGCAGCACATCCCGCCATTACAGCAGCGTTTGTGGGGGGTAACAATGAGTTTCAAGCATCCCTTCTTGTCGAACCTAAGATATTTCCTGCGACCAAAGAAGAGAAGTTGGCCTTGATAGATACGCTGTGGCCTACGATCCAAGCCGCCAATAGAGACTGCCCCGCACATGCGCGTGTTCTGAGAAGCTTCATCATCATAGCATCAGCAGACAAACCCTTTCCACGCGCAGGGAAAGAGACCATTCAAAGGGCTTCGGTACCTGTCTTATACGCTGAAGAACTCGAGAGGCTGTACAGTGAGAAAGCAGCCGTTGATACTCAAGGTTCACTAATAGAAGGCGTGGATTATGGAAACCTTAAACACTCGCTCCACAACTTAGTTGCCACAAACTTTTGGTTACAAGGAGATCTTGATGATGAGATGGATTTTTTTGAGGCAGGTTTGGACTCATTGCAACTGCCCGGATTCATCAAGCAGATCAATGCATTTCTCAGCACAGTGAAGCCTGGATCTGAGCCGGTATCGACTGAGACGATTTTCGCAAATTCAAGTATTGATAGATTGTCGGAGGCTATAGAGATCAGCGGTGGTGAACGTTGAGTAAAAGAACGCGTGTAATCAGAGACCTGGGGAATTGTTTCCTTTTCTCTTGGTCGTCAATTTGCTGCTGCATTATTTCCATTCTTCGATGTAATTTAAAGCGGGAAAGACGTAAGGAGCAGCTTGTGGATCGAGGTTCCAATAATTTATTAGTATGTGAAGTGCAATTGAAAAAAGATGTATCTGAATAATGTGCTTATCCTGACTCCTAATGATGATTCGCCATCAATCAAGCTCACTCCCCACGATCTATCTTCACTTTCTTATCCATTAATCATACTCCATACCACCGACTACAATGCGATATCTCTAACATCCACTAAATATGATTCAATGAGCCCTAGAAACTACCCAACTCATGGAGTAGCCGTTGAAGCGGGTTTTTCTCAGACATAAGAGCACCGACTCTAGCGTCAATTGAGCAAATTTATCAAAAATCTAGAAAGCCATAGGTATTTTGTCATATTCATTTCGGAGCTGTCGCCGTCGAGCACTTCTTGTGTGTCACTTGCCAGTTTGGAAATGAGCATCTTAAGTCTTAAACAGAAAACGTTTTCCAATCCATCTCCATATTTAGTGATATGCTGACAGTCAAAACAAAGTCGATGATGGGAATTACTCGTGCGAACGGTAAGTGTGAGACAATATCATCGAGAAAAGAAGGTACATACGTGGACCGACAGCAATAATTGTTTTGATTGTAATATCCTCCAGACTTCAATCGAGACATCGAGAAGGTTCGATCTGAATTTTGATGGTTGACAAAAAGTTAAGAAGAGAAAAATCGAAAAGCGGAAATTGACTGCGAACCTACGACTCTAACCACCACTTCTAGTGATGGCAGCAACTGCTCGAAACCTGTATTATACGGTTCGCGACCTCTCAATACTGCCAAAATACCCGTCGCAGAATCTGGCTTTGGTCAAATCGATCAATTTTCCCCCATTCAACCCAGTCATACAGCAGCTAACAATTTGACAATTCACCTACTCAAAGCATGAAATCAATCCACAAATTCAGCTAGTTTACAGCCATTTTGGAGACTTTGAGCATAAAAAGACACCGAATGTTGTTCAAACAATATCGTCAAATTTATGATAACACTTCACAAGTACCTACGTTAGATGTCTAATGATGAGAGTACAGCAATGTTGAATGTGTTACCGGATGATCCCACTCACACTAATCCGTCATGGCTTTCTCACGTGCTCCATCATTCTTTGCTCAAATACCTACCTACATAACCTCACTTACCCCACATTCAGATTATTAAAGACCTCGGGAGATTTAAGAAAATCTCAAGTATCAAAATTTGTATGAACCCTCTCATAAATTAGATGATGCAATACTGATTGAAGATTTGACAATTCTATCCGCATGAGATCTAGTATGCAAACATACGTTCTGAAAAACTCTATTATTCGATATCTCCAAATATTGTTAATCAGAAACCTCAACGTACTCCACTATCGGAGTTTTTTGCAACTCGAATGCCGGGCAGCTATAACATTTCGGTATCAAGGACAAAATCTACCCTGAGCGCCTTCTACGCGAAAGTTCTGCGGACTATTTTTCACGGTTTACTTGCGGTGAGATCAACAATTTATCAGCCACTTCAAGAGAGAATGGATGCCAAAAACGTTTATGATCACTAAGCATGCCATCCACTCCTCCGACGTTCTTTGTATCGCTGACAGGTTACTTTCCATTCCTTGAGACTAGCCCAATTAGATGTGATGAGTTCCCAGACTTGGAAAACTTAACAATTAAGAGATGCGGAACAACTACAAGACCGAAGGTGCAAGGAACATGGTAATGTCGCGTGAAGGCTCAGAAAAACTTCTGCGAAGGCTTCATTGTAAGATTCAGTCTTGTGAATAACGAGACAATTCATCTATGCGGGAGTTGATTGCAAGAACTCGTAAGCTGTCTGGATCTAGCATTGTAATTTTGGAATTGTTACCAGGCCACTGTTGACAGCAGAAAAAGCGTGTATATAGTCTTCTACTCTGCCCATTGATCTGTACCTTCATCAAGCATTCAACTCTCTTTGATATCTGCACCAACCTGCTCTAATCCAAATTTTTACTGTCGCTAAGATGATTTCCTCATGGCTTCGTTTCTCAGCAATCCCATTGCTTCTGTCAACTGCCATTGCCCTTGATCTTCCCATTTATCCTGGGCTCCGAACAAACCAGTCTCGACCAGGCGTACTTGAAATTGCCTTTAACAACACAAAATCTGAAGTCAACGTTTGGGGAGAGGACGCTCTGTCTGGACTCTCTGATGTAGTTCAAAAGCTACAAAGTGACACTGAGATTAAAGTCGTCTTATTTACGAGCGACGTCCCACTATATTTCTTGAATCATTTAGACCTCCTCATCCAACCTTTCGGTAAGTGCATTTTCACAAAACCTTTTGTGAAATTCTAGCCCAGATTACTCTTTCATACGAACATTTCGCTGACTACTCTAGACACCACTATCGCAAGTCGAACTATTGAGCTACTTTTCAATATGACGAACCTCCAACAAATTACCATCGGTGCAATTGAGGGCGTAGCACGTGGCGCAGGCAACGAGTTTCTCGTTTCCCTTGATATGCGCTTTGCTACTAAGACCCATACGCTTCTCGGACAACCCGAAATTGGAGTTGGTCTTATCCCTGGTGGCGGAGGAAGCCAGTACCTACCCCGCCTGATTGGACGTGGTCGTGCAATGGAGTATATCCTGAGTGGCAAAGATGTTGGTGCTGTAGAAGCAGAGCGCATAGGCTGGATCAACAAGGCTTTTGACACTACAGCAGAGATGAATGGCCATATTGATGATCTCATCTCGCGTATGGTCTTATTCCCGATTCATGCTCTTGGCCTTGCCAAGCAGTCAATCAATGTAGCGACAAGGCCCCAGCTTAGCGATCTCTTAGGCGATTCGGACAAGTTCTTACAAGCGTCTAGTCCTGCTTCCCAGGCCCTTATCGGGAAATCATTGGAGTTAAGTGCAAATCAGTCAGATGGTGATATCGAACGGTTCTTTGGAGAAGCTATACCATTATTGTATAACTAGTCTAGTTTTGCGTCAGGTATTATCATTTCTTATATAATTATTATGACGAGCAGTCAACACTTTTCTTTTCTTCGGTATTCTGTTTGCTCAGATCGGATCTTCGATGCGATTTTCAGCCCTCAAACAGAGCATGCCGCATTTATATAGCTCCTTTACACTTATCATATAACAATCCAATCCTACAAAACCTTTATATACATCAAGTAGTATTCATCTGCTTCAATTCCCCTACACCTATTGAGGAGATGAAAAATAAACTCAAACCTTTATGCCCCCGGCCTAGTAAAGTGACTAAATTTTTAGAAAAGTTATTTCTTTATAGACTTTTATAAAATCGCCAAATAAAGTATATTATCGTCTTTAAGATCATTATATAAAGGTCTAGAGAATTCTCATTAATTGTAAATTTCCCGCTTTAATTAGAAATACTATTATTTTGAAAATCTTTACTACTATAATATAATTAGTAACTTCTTAATAATATACAGTAGATCTTCCTATATATAGAGATTACTTATACTATAGATTTGAATAGACTGATTCGAGTAGATTATATATATACTAATTTAACTTAGATCTAATATCGAATTCAATAACTTTACTCGAGTTATTCTATTCTTTATTTTATATTAAAAAGTAATTTCTAATTATACTAATAACTAGTCTAAAGATATCTTCTAAACTACTTCTCGATAGAACTAAATTATTAAGAAGAATAGTATTTCTTCTTAAAGTAAATTATAGCTATTTGAGACATATAGGTCTTAGTTATTATATATATATTATATATCTACTTCTTTATTATAAATATCTTATCTATAATATTCGTTACGAAAAGCTTTCTCTAGTCTCAAAAGATCTATAACTCATCTTATAATATATAATTAAGCTTATTACTACTATATATAACTTTTAACTCAATTATAAAGCTCAGCCTACTAAATTCCTAATTCCCTAAGACTACGGACCGAAATGAAATTTTCCTTATTTTCAGATAGAAAACAGGCTAGACGCATTAGGCGTATTACGTAATCATCTTGATTGATATAGTCAACTGGATTATATATAGCTTTCAATACAATACGCACTATACTTAATACTAAAACCTTACCTACGATATACGTCTTTTCTTAGATACATTTGAAAATCTATAGGAACTAATATAATATTTAAAGTTTACTATCAACTTTCTCCTTTGTTCTATTCTCTTGAGCTTTCCTTAATAAAGCATACAACGTTTGTAGCCTTGGCATTTCCAGTCCATGACTCCTGGCAATTCGGATTGGATTTCCCAAAATGACTTCAAGCTCCATTGTCTTCCCCTGCTCCCAATCCAATAACATACTTGGCTTACTTCCACTAGTATTCTTCTGTGTACTTTTCAACAGCTGTTCAGAAGTTGCAAATTCTTGTGGTAGCTTAGTCCCCAATATCTTTGGGGCTGTCTCTAAAACTTCGTCCATGACACCTTTCAAATGAATGTAAAGCTCTGGATCGAGCGACATATCATTATTTGTGCTCCCAGAGGAAAGCACAGCGGAAGGATTCATACTCGCATTAATGGCGATTTTATGCCACCTCACCATTTGAAGTTTCCAATGTGAGTACTCCTGGGCATCCGAGATGCCACCTGTTTGTAATAATTTCACAAACGTATTGTTTCGTTGAACAGCCATGTGTTGATCATTACTCAACTTCGTCGATTCAACAACACCGGGTAAATATGGGCCAATGCTTATTCGTGTCCATCTGTTATGCTTAATAAGACCTGGGGAAGTCTGTTCGGCGCTCACAACAGTGACAGCACTTAATATGGTGGACCCTGAGAACCTGTTTGAATATGGTTCTTCCACACCGAGACCATTTTGGACCAAGACGATAGATGTGTGACCTTTCTTCACGAGGCCTTCAAGGATCTCGGAATCATCGTTAACATCTGGAAGCGCCTTTGTGCTTACGACAATATAGTCCCATTCTTCATTCGAATCTCGAGCTTCTTGTGGGTTGGCAAAGGTTTGATGCGGAATGAATTTGTATTCTCCAAATTTTGGTGAAGTGACATTGAACCCGTTGGCGGTGACAGCTTTGTAATTTGATCGGCATATAACGGAGACTTGAGTGCCTTGAACTTGGGCAATTCGAGATCCATAGAATGCACCAACAGCGCCAGCACCGACAATGAGGACCTTTATAGTCATAATGATATTTTACGATCGGATAATATCGAAACTGTTGTAATATTGAATCGTTGTGGATGTGATCTGACCAAGGGAAGTAACCTCGGCAGATAGACGGTCAGTTCACCCCCGCTTACATAATCTATCAATTTCCTGCACGTGTTGTAGCAATCATTACCTTCGTACAAGGTTTACGGGTAGTTGATAAAGATACAATTTTGACGGGATTATTAAATCGCACAACGCGCACAATCTATTCCTCAATCTCGTCTTCTATTCACAAATTACTATGCGATATCGAAAACATTCAGTTATACCACATCGCGCAAACTGGCTACGTCGGTTTCAACCCTAGATACTCAACATCTTTAAGCTCGTAGATAGGCTAATGTTTCTAAACAAATCTTAGAACAATCTGTACTAGTGACAGCCAATGGCCAATGACCAGCGAGCGACAATATGGCAGTAGTTGGCGCGCGAAAATCGCATATACGAACAGGATATAGGGAGTGTGAAATGCGGATCTCACACAGTGCAAAAGACTGGGTACCCGAATGAAACACTGAACATTTTGACCTTCATACCATTTTTTGCGCCCTTTGAAAACAACAAGACAGCGGCAGATGCTATCATTCCTTTTTGCCGAAAACAGTCGAACAAATCAAGAGTGTCGACAAAATTACCTGGGAGGATTTGAATGTCTATAAATTGACCTGCGACTTTTCGAGCTGCAAGACCTTCTGGACAGAAGGACGATTCACCAGATTCTCCACAAGCGCTGTGTATTTCGGATACGCTCTCTTCATATCCAAGCCATGTCCTTCTCCCCAACGATGGAACACAAAAAGATACGAATCGACGACTGTGAATGCACCTCCGACTGCGTAAAGGCCATTCAACTTTCCCTCAATCATATCAAAACAATTCTGGACATTTCCCATACTTTTTTTCTCAATACCCGGCAATGCTGCTTTTTCATCACTCATTCTCTCCGGTCTTAATAGGCCACCGAATGCATGAGCATGCAATGTTCCGCTAAGCCAATTCATCCATTCATACACTCTTATTGTTTCCATTGTTGTTCGCCCTAAAAGATGCAGTTCCGGAGCAAATGAAGATATCGCTGTCGCAATAGCAGGAACCTCTGTAATATTTTCACCCTCAAGTGAGAGTACTGGAACACGCATCTTGGGATTTATGGAAGAGAAGTTTTGAGTAAATTCTACCGTCCCTTTTGTGATTAAGTTGGCAATTGATTCAAAAGAAACTCCAGTTTCGAACAGAAGAACATGAGGGCATAAAGAGCAAGCCCCAGGTGCCCAATAGAATTTAATCTCAGGATGAGCCATGGCTTTACGTGTTTTTGAATACTTGTAAAGAGTAGGTACCGATCCTGTAGAAAGAAGATATCGGTGTTACTTTATACAAATACGTGAAATTTTGCTCACATGCTACTCCTTGATGGGTGCGTTTAATGGCAGTGGCAGGTTCATGTAACCGGGTTTCGAGATTGGTCCATCAAGTCTTAGGATTGAATCACGTCATTAAATGCAGAGTCAACATTTCTATCACTACGATTTCGATATTGCTTAGAAATCTGGTGGTTTTGTGGCAAGGGTTTGAGGAAGAAATCCCTTACGTCGGCTTAATGTCAATTTGCCCCACTTTTAAGCTTGCCGGCTGATTTTTGCCATTAGTTTGCATATGAAGCTGCCCGGATGAATACGGTTGTAGCGGCCAGAAACCCCGACGAAGAGATAAGATCAATGGCGTAGCCTTCCTCAAGAGAGTAATGAAATTGCTTTTTTGGCTTTGCCTTATCTTTTGCATTGGTGACTACAAGGAGGAAACAGACAGTTCTTTTCCAGTGCCAATCCTTATTAGACTCCAATTCTGATCTATAGAGTCTAGCACACATCGATCATAAATGAGCAATTGTCTCCAAAACCCCATCATCGACAAGTTCGCTGACATCTCGTAAACGGCTCTTCAGATATGATCGATGTTGCTCTGGAATCTCAGAGACTATTGTTGACACAGTCAACGGCCAGCAAACCAAACTAGCCGTGCTAGCCTTAACTGCATTTCTTCGTCCCTTGCGTACCATTTTCATACCTGTCCCTCCAAGTTCAATCCATCCCAGAACAAACGGTAGACTGGCGCAGAAATCCAGAGCTAGTTTCTCCATATTCAGTATAACGATATCTTCTTGGAACTTGGTGTCAGGTTTTGAAGACTCTATTTCGCTGTGAAAGACTTTCAGTATGATGTCATTCATGTGAAGACGGATAGCACGATATTGAGCCCACATTGCGGCATGGCTAATCGAGGGATATAGATGAACCATTTGATCAAAGACATCATTTGCGCCAGGCTCGTCATCATCATCTACCGTCACTCGAAAAGTACTCCAATAATCCACCATCGGTACTTCCTTAGCCCATCTGACCAATTTCGTTTCCAACTCTTGTGCTAGTACCAATAAGCCGCGCATCTTTGTAGTAATCTGCCCACTTCCTCTTGCAGAAATACCGTCAAGACCAATAGAAGCATGGCTCACACAACACCCCAAATCGGCGACTTCAACTAAACACTGATCAAGAACTAAGCTTGAGCCTATCTCCCCGAAGACTCTTCCATTCTTCAGCCAACTTGGTATCGGCATGCTTCTGAGCAGGAGCGAACGAACTAAGTGTCGCCTTGTAATCTTGTCTAATTCCGACCCAGAGTTTTTATGGGAGGTGCTGGAGTTGCTGGAATGGGTTGGAAGAATTGAATAATGCGATCGATATGACTCTTGCTGGCTTTGCAGTCGTAAATTTAAAATTGCAATCGCGCCATCATGATGGTTAAAAGCCTTCGCAGCTATAATCTTGATGTCTTTGGCGACAAATTGAGCTTTTTGGGTCACGGAATTCTCAAAATGACTTAAAAGGAGAACGGTAAGAATGACTTCATCCATTACGACTCTCTCTGAGTTTCTCAGCGCTAGATTCGTTGCCGCCAGGGCTTGTGAGTATATCTTACTCCCAATTGATAAAGCAGCAAGATTCTTTGTCGATCGCCCGAAAGTCGTGTGGGCAATTGCAAGAATAGCGAGTTGTAATGTGGAACGGGCAGACATGGCATGAGATGCTTGTTCCGGTGATGCAATCGGCCAAGGAGAAAGTCGGCAAATCGTTGACGATGCGAGGCTGAAAATTGAGGAGTGCTGAAAAGAACCGACACAACAATTTATCTGGCTATTATGACTAGTAAACATTCTTCCGGGTGTCTGGACAAACTGTATTGTATAGTAGGCAATATCTTGATCTTGCAGAGGTGTTGTGGGAGGAGGTCGCGGCGATGAGAAAAGAACGGTGACATGTGGGATGCTTGGAAGTTTGATTAGATTGGCTTCGTCTATTGTCATATTGACATGTCTTGTCTGTTCTTCTGGCACGGGGGATTGAAATGGTGAATTTAGTTGTATTGACCGCCGCAGATTGGGACCTCGAGGTCGTTTTATCTTACCACTCGCTGCCTCGTTTTCGTTCAAGAACTCGTATTTTTCAATGCCACTATAGCCCTGACAATTGATTTTTGCTTTTGCACAATGGTCGCCGGATGGCTTTGTTTCATCGCACTGTGTTATTCTTGTAAGTCTCAAGACCAATGAATGATGAGGAGATATTCTTAAGACCTGCCTTTACCCGTCGCTTCTTGCACGTATGACATCTACGGCTCGGAAAAGGCATGGCGACTTGGGCGATTTGATGTGTAATCGTGGATAGAGGGAAGCAAATTGTTGTAAGTCAAAGAGATGGTATAATTATCGTTTCGCCATTCTTCAGGAACGGGGAGTATAAGCGCCGGACATAATCTTATATCCGCGAAGTTGAGAAAAAGTGCCAATGTAAAAGTATCTGATTTTCTAATACTGGCCGAGAATTAGACATGTTGATTTTCAAATAAACCGTCCTACAACTCTTCAGCTGTCGAGTTTTCTGAGAGATCACAGAATCCTAGATCTGTTAGTGATGTAGGATCTGGCTCTTCCTGACATTTTTCATCCGATCGTGAATTTCAGAAGAGAAAGAATGTAGAGGGTCATTATCATACTGTGCGCCACAATGATTTTTGAAAATAACATGAATATCCATATGGGAGAGATTGCATTATGAGTACCAATGCCCAAATACTATAGCTAACTACAATAAAGAAAGGCAGACACTAAACAACAAGCCTTAATACCATTCCATTCCTCATCGACAAAATCAAACATGCCAATTCCAGATTCTAGTAGGACGTCCTCCTCGACCACGATTGTAGCTCCGACCATTTCCTCCACCTCTGGGGCCGCTTGGCGGGTTTGTGTTGTCATTTCCAATTCCGTTGCCACGACCAGCACCACCAGTAATTACCCGAGGGATTGATACTTCTGTACGTCTTCCTCCTTCTCCCCATCCTCTTCCGCAGACAGCTCTGGTTGGAGTTCGCTCACTTTCCTTCAACTCCGATACAAGGACAGCTCCGCCTTGATGAATCTGTTCAACCTCAGTCTGACTGATTGGTTCCGCTGGTACCTGATATTTGGTCGGCAATCTATGTGCTCCTGAGATACTGTACTCGCTCCGAGGAGTTACAATAATGCCACCGGATTCAGATGACCTGGATCGCGACGAACCAATATCAGGATTGGGAGTGGCAAGTTTTGTTCCAAGTTGAAAAGATGGAGAGGAGGGTATTGTTTGCCAATTTGTATCGAATGGAGTGTCTCCTTCGCGGTAGGGTCTGAATCCGGCAGGAACAGGGGAACTGTCGATTATGGTATAGCCAGAGACGGGATCGGTGAAAGATATGTTTCCATCGTCTTGAAGAACGCCAGGAATGGGGTCACTCCATGGAACATAATACCAGGTACGCTGGATTGGGGGACTTGTGTCAATCTAATGAATTTAATCAATATTTATAGGCATACAGCAATGGATGGCAGTTGGGCTCGGACTAACCTCATGTTGACACCAAAAGTGACAGATTTTAGCTTTAGAATGCTGAGGAGGCATTTCATATTCATTGTTAGCATACACCTGATACCTATGATCGTGGTAAAAGCGAGCATATACTCGTGGGCCATTCTGATGTGGATCAACGGCTTCTTGTGGATAGTAAAGGACTTGAGCTCCTTGGTCTCCCTTGGGACAGTATTGACAAACGTAGTCATAGCAGATATAGTTCGGAGCCTTGTAATTCGCTGTTGGACAGATGAGAATTGTATGAATTGGTGCCAAAGGTACAGCTCTGCCTTCATGATTGATGATGTTCATTGTGTATTCGATGGAAGCTGAAAAGTATGTCTTGTGTGCGGCATCAGATGATTTGGATCGGGCGGCAAGAAGCTCCTAAGCTTGTCACAGCTATGGATTATTGAAGCTAAAATTGAATATTAGGGTTGAGATATAATGTGGCTTGAAGATCAACCGTTGCTAGATGAAACAAAAGTTTATGAAGATTGTAAATACTGGAAGAACATATTAGATTGCCCAGAACAAAACTTGAGGAATCCTAACTGGTAACGGGTAAATTACAGCTGCTCCGAGCAATAAAATCTGGACAGGTAATGAGTCTTGAAAGATGGCACAGAGCTTTTTGTTTGTTGTATAAGAAGAACAAAGATTGAGATTTAAGAAAAGCTCAAATTTTACACTGGGCAATATCCGAGAAGTTGGGAATTTTAGATGATTGTGAGATCAGTTCATTTACTAATTAGGGCGAAATCTATGCCGCTCTCTCTACTTTACTTTAAGCCCTTTCTTTGCTTATCGATTGGTCTTGAAGGTATCATCTTGTGTCTGAAACCTTACTATCTATTCACAAGATATGGGTGAATTAGGGCTTCCATATTTACAAATTTAACCAGGGGCCTCAAATGCCTAGATGTCGTCATCTTTCGTGGTCTGGTAATCACAGTGGGTCTTTTCCATGATTCAGCCAGGAGAAGGCCTACGATTGAAACTTCTCTTTCAAAACTTGAGCTCCTCTCGCGATTCACATTAGCTTTTGTGACACGCAAATATCACTTCCACTTTATTCTTTCGACTACTTTATCTTCGAGCACTCTATATTCTACCAAGTTGTCTCTCAGTGGCTGACGACTATGAACTCGAATGCTACAAGGTACTACTTGCTTACCTGAAACCACTCGAAGATAGCTGATGCTTTGATTGAAGTCAATTACCGTTACTAGACTTACAATACACAGGAGAAATTGAGTAAAATCGCCTCGATGACTACAGTAATATCAACAAAAAGAATCTGAGATCTCATATTTTAGATTGTTTAATTTGAATTTGAGATTCAATGACCTCCCTCGAAAGATTCCACAATTCCAGACTTTGTTGAAATATATCGTCATCTCTGATTTGAATCTTCCCATCTGAAGTAAGAAATCTCACTTCCTTGATCGACCGTGTACCCCAAATGAAGTCATTACCTTGTATGAAATCAGCCATTGGCTTCAACCAGTTTCTCAATAAGACCTTCTCGTTGTCATTCAAGAGATCCCCGTTCCCAAAAAACCATATTGACATGTCCGTCCCGTGAGTGGCTCCAACAATTTTAGGCAACCTTTTATCCACACTTTCTGTTCTCCAATCAATTCTGTATCGATTGATACTCTGAATTGGGACATCAGAAGATATTGCGACGAGGAAGCCACGCATAGTAGAATGTATTTGCATGTCAGCATACAATTTACCAAAAATTTCAATCCAATGTTCCTTCGGGTAGTTTGAAGAAGTGTGGTCCGGTTTATATTTAGCGCAAACGGCCGTGGCGATACTTCGTGGGTAATCCCATGAAAGACGGTCAATCAATCTCTCATACGAATGCGGCGGAAACACGTTTTTATAGAGCTGATATTCTTGTGTAAGATCCCCGATGATGGTTTTGATGCCAAGTTCTTTGAATCGTTTCCCGAACGTACCATCATAGATTCTAGTGAACAAATCCTTCGAAATGAACTCTCCATCGAGAACCGGACGAATGAAAATCTGCTTCATTTTTCCAACTGCAACTATTAATTCATCAGAGCTTTTAGTGCGAAGAACTTCCACGGTCTGCTTTGCGCTCAAAGACCGAGATATTCCCAAAACAGAAAGTAAATCATCAAATTGTTCTTGAGCTTCAGAAATTCGTTTGGGCTCAACTCCACATCCATTTGACCATTGGATGATTCTACGAATGATTTGGCGTTTAGAATTGGGGCCGATGTCGTACGCGAGTTGATGAAATGTGGAATAAGAACCAGCTGATAAACCACCGACTGTGATATTCTCATTATTGCCACCAAAGAACCCGATGTTTTCATATGTCCATTCAAGAGCAGCTCGTTGATCCCAGAGTCCTAAGTTTCCAGCTGAAGTCTCGTCCCAGAGTTCTCTACCAGCTAGAAATCCAAAAACTCCGAGTCTGTAATTGGGACATACAATAATGCATTTCACATCTGTCTCGGCCAATAACGAAGAAGGGTCGTCTGAGTTGTTCGAGCCGTATTGAAGGAAACCACCATCTGAATTTCTTAGTCATAGATCCTCAAATCGTCATGGAGATGACACCTACGAATGTAGAAGAACACTGGCCAACCACCTGATGGCGGTTCACCAAGTGGGATGTAGATGTTACACTGTAAACAATCCTCACTCGAGCTGCCTGGTGATACGAGTAGCGGGGATTGCGGGCATGGAATAGACGGCTTGTTGTAAGTTTGCGGATTATTTTCGGAACCATATGAGAAGTTTGAAGGGAGCGGGAACGGCTTTCGCCATCGTCTTTTACCTGTTGGTGGTAAAGCATACGGTACTCTTGAAAAGCGATAGCATTTTGATACGTTCGTAGTTTTGTCCTTGATCACAGGGCCTAATAGAGCTCCTTTACCAGGAAGCAATATGCGAAGGGGTGGATACATGATTGGTCAAGAGAAATTGCAATGCGGAGACGCAGTTGCTATGAGGAGTGAAGTTTAGTGATGGCTAGGTAATTGAAGTTGACGAGCACGTGCCGAGGTAGAGTCTACTGCATTTGTAGCACGGCTCGAGCACGGATAAACAACGGCTTAGAACAACGCGTGATCGGCATGCTTAAGGTTACCGTGTCATTTTGGGTCTTGTGAAAAGAACGACAGTTTATGTTCTTAGAATTGAGTAAGAAGTCATAAAAGGCGTGAGTAATTTCAACAAAAGAGTTCAGTTCATTGTTCGTTCGCCAGGTTATTTGTCTACATTTCAATCTATCGATGTTTCTATGCAGGCGCGGAATGGTTAGCACCAGTTGGGGTCTTATTAGATTAGATCGGATCAGATTAGATCAGATAAGACTTTTTTGTTCTCCGAGTACACCTGACTACCTAGACAATCCATACTAGAATGCTCGCAC